ATAATATCGCCGGTACTCCCGTAGTATGTGTACAAGGTTAGGGTTACGCCGCAATTTTATTTCGATTTTCCCTATTTTATTTCTATTACGAGTTCGAGGGGGTACTCCTGAAGTATGCGCACCAAAATATCGCACAACCTGAATCCTAACCTATGGTACACAACCTGATTCCAGGTTGTGCGCCATATCCCCTGCTCATAGGTTTCAGTCCCTCTACACAACTTGATGTAAAATAGGCTAACAAAATTAGATACCTCCATATTGGTACATATACCTCTGGAGCGCCGAATCGCCAACAATTTTGACTCTCGAACCATAATGACATTGCTTGAGGACACTCAAAGTTACCAGATACTACCGTAGGTTTTGTTATAACTTACACCTCTTTCTAATTCTTCATTTAATCAGGATATCGTTTATTCCCATGTTAACGATAATCTATAGCGTTTATATTTCCCAAGTACTACTATTTAATTCCCATGTGAGTTTCTTTGTGACAAATGAAATGATGACAATGAGAAAATTACTTAGTCAAATAAACTTTTAAAAGTAGGTATACAACTTTTCCAACGATGCGTATTTTGATGGTTCGCTTCGAGTATTGTCTACAAACAGGAATTTAATATAAGATATATAGTGCATGTATAGTCAGTCAGGAGTAGAGGTGGATATTTGGGCTTCATTCTGTAGTAGCATAGTTCATTAAACCGCGACTTAGGTCAGTGGTTCCCAACTTTTTTGTTAAATTCCTCCGTTAGTCTATTTTGGAGCTCTGTAATCTACGCATATAAACTCCCTTTTATTCAATCTTCAGTGTTATGTGCAAGTCTCACTCTTGATTTTATGCAGTTTAAGAAGTTTATAATGTCAGAATGTGTGCATAAATAGGTGATATTAGCTAAAGAATATTCAGGCTTGTCCATGGGAACGTGCCATGGGATGCAAACATTCGTATTTCCCATAGGACACGAAATACCGTATGGTTTTGAGGGAAATGATGGAAAAACATTTCGTTATGAACTTCGTGTATATATTTGAGCATAGATCTCTTGTTAGTAGTCATAAAGAGCAAATTATATTCAGCATTAACAATATACTTCGTGGAGGGGCTGATGGACACATGTACAATAGAGTCGTTAAATTTTGTTGTTTTGCATGTCTCTTCGTACATGTAGTCCTCTTTAGTAGACGCTAAACCTAAATTTAACAATTTCTATTGAATTGTATTCCAATGGGATGGGATGGGACAGAAAAATATGTCTCATGGACAAGTCTGAGAATATTCGTAATACATCAGCAAGTACAGCACAAAATTTCTTCCCGGTTGGGAAACGTGGGCTCAGTTGAAATGAATGACGTAAACATGGTATTCAATAGATTTCAACACCAAAGCCATATACCGCAATATAATTTATTTTAATCTACCTCGATTTGCTAATGTCAACAAATACCATTTAGTTATTGATCTTGCGGTTAAATTGGGGATAAACATGAAAGGTTGCTTTAAAAAAACTTATATATAATTACTCTACTATGAATCATGTAATGACCTGGCCTAAAATATCAGATTTGCCATTTTCTTACATAAATACTACTTTGTCATACTAATGGTTAAAACATGTCGATTCGTTATTTGTTCGATTTTCTCTTTGTCCGCTATTGACATACTTGGTATATATAGTTATGCAAAATCTATATGCCGAGGAAACACATAATAGAAAGCGATCAATAATGGATACTATAGACATGCTCATGATGAACCATAACTTAATCCTATATTTGCTAATACCCGTTAGGAAACGGGCACAAGTAGTTGTGCAAGTATATTGTTCGTTATTTTCATAACTTTATTTTATGATGTATTTTCAGCGAATATATATATATATTCTCGATGTGACTAAGATTGCAAGCGGAAATTGATGAAGAGATTTAGGCACTATGATTTCATTGATTATGATAATATTATAAGACAGATTGACAATTTATAAAATTAATTCTATTTCGGATACAAGGCTTTGCGGAAAATCCAATCCATCCTCAGACAATAATATTCTGAAGTCGAATTTTGTTCATTTCGCCTTGACCTGGTGAATTTGCGAAGATTGGTTCTTAGTAACAAATGACTTTTTGTTTACTGATGTAGATCACGTTTAATTCCCGAGAGAATCGCTTTAATTTTGGTTTTGGTCTGTTTCCTCGATCGAATTGATTTTCAATTTCATGGTGAATCAGTCAGGCAGGCACGAGCGGACGACTTTGGTTAGATACGTCAACGAAATTCGATTCATTTCAAATCAAGTCTGTGCGCTGAAACGTAAAATGATAATGACAGCTGAGAGAGGATTTACACTTTATATCATAGCTAAGTCAAGCTCGCCGGTTCAGAGCCAAAGTCGTAGAAATATTGTGCAATGCAGAATAGTGAAAGTTCTGTCTGGCAAATACACGATTAAAATCATTTATCTGAGTATATTCAATCTGTAATATATTTAATCGTGTTGACGAAACAGGACGCGACGCCCGTGGTTAGACGGATGTGTATTGGATATAGATACTCGAAGACATTAACCAGGTAGTAGACAATGAACGCCGTAGCTGGGATAGAACTTCATAGCAAAACGTAACGCGCGTTCAGTTATTTATTGGCGAAGTTCATACATAAATTTGAAAATAGGATGACTTTCAGACGCAAATTAATGAATAGTATATATTCACTGTGCTACTGGCAAGGAGTTCTCAAATATTATAAGAAGTATTATCCGTAATAAACTTATACGGTTTTGTGGTAAAAAAATCCTACAGGATAGATAATGATTTTTTAGATTTATCATAGGAAAGGCTAGTTTATCGGTATGCGAAACAGGTCCGGTAATCGTTATAAATGTAAAGGATTGAGTTGTGAAGCCAGGATGGGATATGTCAGCACTTCTGGTTATGTCCCTGTGCCACGAAGCGAATTTATTGCGCCATTTTAGATAAGCTGTAACGACAAATCCTAAGATTACTAGGCAGAGGACAGTAGGTTAATCTCTAGTGTTGACTACGACTACAATTTTATGAAACGCTTTGTTGAAAGTACAAATCAAAATATTTATTTTGCCAGATCAGATATCATTCCTTTGGCGTGAGTTTTTGAAATATTAAATATAGTACCTTAAATGTAAAAACAGTTTTGTAGTATATTCTTTATATGCAAATGAGGCACTTGTAATTTATGCTGTCTTTCAAACTAAAAAAAATTATCGTGATTGACGCCAATAATACCTCATTGATTTTTCTATTGTCTTAATATTGCTAGTTCGGATAAACAAATGATCGATTGATTGGTGATTCTCCTTGTTATAACGCATCACATATTTCACCATCAGGTTATAAGTCGGATAGAAATTTTCGAGTTGGTACGGGGTTAATTTATCTTGTAAGCTTTTGTGAAGCGTTCTAAGTCAGTGGATCTCAATGTGATTGTGCGACGAGGCTGAATTTTGGCGGTTTCTTTGGTAGGTTTGCAGGATGAGTCGGTTGCCTGCAATTTTATTTTAAATGAATTAGGAGTATACAATGCAGTTTAACTTATCAGCAAGGGAACATTTAATCTATATTTATGATTATTTTTATAAGCTTATTTCGTTTAAATTTATATTAAAAATCGCCAATCAATCGTACTGCTCCAAATGTATTAATTTAACGAGGACAGGAGTGAGGTTCCGAAGACTCAATTATTAGTATTTCCTTTCATCGTGACTGGGACTGATGTTTGTAAAATGTCGCTTTCGTTATATGCAGTAGTTCTGTTCATAGTTAATGGGTGATTATGGATAAATTCATTATGAATGCTTTACTTGAAAAGTTGCGATACCGATTTTACTTAATTAGATTTGACTATATTGGTCCGTGAAAATTTCATGTATATTTAACAACGGGCTTGCGAAAAAAGTAGGGAGCCGCTGCCTGAAATGTTGAGAATTTAGTGGTGACTGGAACATTTGATATCGAAAATGGATGGGTCACATATCAATCTGGTCATTATATAGAAGGACAAAATATGCGCATGAAGCAAGCATGTTAAGCAGTTTTGATTTGGGAAATTTCAAAGCAATAAAGAAAAATCAAACTGTTTTACAGTCACGAAATAAGCTTATTAATTCCTGTCCTTCATTAAAATTTCATCACCGCTGGATTACCGCTCGTGAAAAAAGTGTTAGCTCGTTAAATATCTTATTAACGGCATCATTTCTGACTTATCAAGGGCTCCGGTATTATTTATAGAAAATATTATGAACTTTATAAATGCACCAATTTACGGTTCAATTTAAACTTTTTGCAACTCGGGCGAACTGCAAGGAAATGCTTGTGGGGATATTTTTAGTAAATCTTCAATTTTTAATTATATTCTATGTCATGGTGTGAGATCAACTATTGTCATTGTCATTTTTTCGTACTATGCAGTAGTTCAAGTTCCTACCCCCCAGACTTCAAAGTCCTGGAGTGTGACTCGCTCAATAACTCTTTCGAGTAATTATTCTTACTACATACAGGAGTTCAATCGTTAATCAATAACTCATCGTTTATCATTTTTCATGTTCAAAATCATGTTTACAGAATTCCTAAATTTTTGTATTCAACTGGCCAATAAAAAAAAACGGAAGAAAGTGACTGAAAGCATTCAGCGCCCATCAACAGTCCAAACCTAAAAAAGCCATTCAACTGGCTTTTGCTTCAAGTGAACTCAAAGTCCTCAGTTAATTAATTAATTAATTTTGGGGATCCCAATCTTTTCCAAACGCATGCTTCATTGGAGAGATAATTCCACTCTATTCACATTGTATAATAACATTCAATCAATACAATACCCGAGCTCATTTTTTTGTCATAAACGACCATAGCCCGTCTCGAGGATTTTTTGGACTCTCGCATCCATGTTTCCGGCTTCCGGACGGGCCCGCTGGCTGTTAACAACCTATTGTCATAAATCACAGTGTATTTTATGTTTTCGTTTTTAGATTTTGTTGTATTGATACAGATATGAGTAGACTGGTAATAAACTCATCAAGCACAGAGAACATGGACGTGTTGCAGAAAACTACGGACTTCTTTAAAATTCATTATGCGGGGGAGCACGGAAAATTTCCAGATGATTTTGGACCAGTAATTCACATCCAGAGACAAAACGAAGGACCTTTGACCCTGTTCATTATATTGTTATTGTTCTAATCATATACATGGGAGGAATTGCAGTCTTGATCATGAAGTCAGTTCAGGTACATACATTGAATACTATGTATCAGATGGATTAAGTATTTTTGCGACGGCATCAAAATACATTTCCGAATTTAATACTGTGAGGTTTGTAACAACCATTTGAGAGACTCTAATGCAGTAGTTCCCAACCTTTTATGACTCGTGCCGCTCCCTTCCTGAGGCTTTTAGCACTCATGGCCACTGTTTATCATTCCAGTGGTATTTACAGTGTAATTTTGATTGGTAGATTTCAAACCCCTTTATGTTCAAACAATTCAGGCTCAGCAAAGTGAAAACACTCTGTGAAATAACCTTATCAAGCAATGGAACCAGGAGTTTTCTTGTAAAGTGGAATGAAAAATCAGTTTGTGCCAACCATTGTGCCCCCCTTCAACCTATGCTCCAATGAATAGTATTACAACGTTTTTCAACTGTTCATCAACCTGTACTTCGGTCATTTTATTACATTTCAATCGTTAATTCCTAACCTAAATTTCATTTCTTAAATGAGCAAGTTTACAGTTGGATTTTCAAGTGTGTAGGGGTTTATGCAAGTGCCCGCTCGTATGTTTTAGTGAAGGTGAAATTGAATATTTCATATTTTTTTTAAATTGCATACGCTTTCCATATATTCACAAGTTCCTTTTTGTCAGGCTGTGGCGTGTATTTGCGGAGTGATGCCTTTTAGTATGGCAAAGTTTAGTCGGTATGAAAATGTTGTTAACAGTTGTGGGAAATTTGAGTATCGATCAATCTGTAACATGGTCTGTAGCAAAGCGAGGTACCAGGTTTCAGTCATTTATTTTGTAAACAAAAAAAATATTTCAAATATTCTATAGCTAGTTTCACCAAAGTGGAGTTTAATATAAAAGGGTTAATCTCGCGTTTCATTTTGACGACAAGTCTGTCGTCTGTGAGTTGGCGCCGAGAGTATTATTTTTATTATCTTTACGTTATTCCCGATTACAGAGCTATCTTCCACAATCACAAAATAGGATTCATAAGATGATATCTATAACCGAATATTGATACTTTATATATTTAATCTTTATAGATTAGAATTAAATATTGCCAATAGTAAAATATTCTTGATTTTTCTGTTTCTATTCTCTAAGCAACTTTATTTTCAAACTTATAAAAGAATCTCTTAAATATTTATGAGACCTATTTATGCTGCGGATAGAAAGAATCAAAAGACAGACCAATTCTGCCACGAATAAATATTTCATGTTTTTGCCCTGAGAAGCTAATATCCTGCGCGAGAAGGATTATTCAAAACATTTAGTTTCGAAATTTATATTCGCGGTTGAATAAACTGCTTACTATTAGATAACTCGTTATAAAATATAATTCATACAATTCTGGCATCGCAGACGGCCCGGAACTGTAACCACAAAAATATAATAAAAAAGAAATATTGCCAATAACTTATCGATCGATAGTTTTACAAAAGACAGTTTGACAATTTAATCGTTCCACATGACGTTTACCTTTATTTTCTTCAACTTTATTACAGTTTAAAAATCTGACATTATTTTTTCAGAGAGACAACGAAGTCCGACGATACGCCAATTATTACGAAAATTTTGTAAAAAGGCCACAGTTCAAAAGACCCCAATTACTCCCAAATTATACTTTGCGTAGATCGTGGTATAAAAGCAGGTAAGTTTCAGAATATTATTTCTATATTCAATGATAGTTCATGGTCTTTAGTTTGCTTACCATCCAGTCTTACGGAAAGTGCGATTGTTAATCAACACGTAGCGTAGAGAAAATTCACACGGTACTCACCGTCCAAAAACAGTAGTTTCCTAACCCTAAGATTTCACTTTTTTAAATTAGATATTTGAACGTTGGGTGTCACTGCTCGATAACCAGCTTTGGTTCCCCGCGACTTCCCTTCAACAGTAAAACTGTAATTTTAATTTTTTTTTCCGTCTTTTCTGTGGTTATTTTTTTTTATTTACTGGCTGGAAAAACTAAACTTGACTTGGCCACCCCATTCTACGTACTGTAATTTTAATTTTTTTTCCTTCTTTTCTGTGGTTATTTTTTTTTATTTACTGGTTGGAAAAACTAAACTTGACTGGGCCACCCCATTCTACGTAATCACCCACGATGGTGCTACCACGAACAGCATTTTATCAGTAACAAATACATATGGGTCGGTTTACATTGGTACTTAGAATTAATACACTTTGGTGCAATTTATGAACTGAGTTTATTGAACAAGTTGATTCAGTACTTTTTTTTTTTACAGAATTCACAGAGGCTCGTGCACACCATCTCACGTTGAAACTGTAACTGATGTCGGCAGTGTGGAAGTGTTTGATCTCGATGATCACCATAGATGTGATTCTATATCTGCCACTGCTCAATGTACATTGCATAAACAAGACAAACACTTTGACAAAAGATCATCGGCAATAATCGTGGTAAATGCAATGCCAGCGTCAACTCAAACTGAAATTCAAGATGTATGAACAACTGAATTCACAGCAGGATTAACTCCGCTTCACAAAATTGCTAAATCAACGGCATTTCTACGACAACCGACGTCGAGGTTTGAAACAGCAGACTCCCAGCAGAACGGCGTGATCTTCAAGGCCTGCGTTAGCATATATCGAATTAGATGTAGGGTTGCCTGTATATATATATATGTGTAATCGAATTAAATCAATGTTGTAAATCACGTTTCCATTGGTTTCAACTTTTACAATCATATGACTATTGATTCATTTTTGTCATTTTGCAATACGCATGTGCTATGTATGTTGCGTACATTTGGAAATAAACTTGAGATTTCACACACAAATAAAATCACACTTCATTTTTCTGTATGCAGAACGATGAGAGAGCAATTTTATACGGCAGTTTATCGGGTCAAAATTCCGATATGAATGATGAAAAGTGGGTGGATAAAATCGGAGCATCGTCGTATTATTAGTCCATTACTATATCACGCTGAGAAATATTACTAAATCTACTACTATCTACCTATCTACTAAAGACGACTGTATCGGCTAAATGTAGACCGGTATATTAGCATTTTTAATCTGATCCAGAGTTTTAAAAAATAAGTTGGAATATGGATGTTGATATTATTTTTTGCTTGCAGGGATAGTGTTCGCGGTATTGGCTCCGATAACTCTGAGCCATGCTCTCCTTCAGCCCCGCGTGTAGAAATGAGAACAGGATTCTGACCTGTTTATCAGCCAAACTAGCTCAACTAATTTGTGTTTTTTCGCTATCAATTTTTATATTGACATCTTCAATATCACATGGTAGTTATGAAGAAATATCAATCAAACATTAGCGAATTTCCCGATGTGTGAAAGACAAAATACGACTTTACATTGGCCTGCACACGCAACGCAACCTTTTTTTTTAACTTGCGGCACACTTATATAACTTGCCAAATTCGACGGCACACCACAACAATATTTCCATCAGAGATTTGTGGTTGTTTTAATGAGCACAATCGCTATATATTAAGATCAATACGTGAAAGAGCAACTCGAAGTTCGCCGTCAACATCTTTTATGCAGGATCTTTTATCGTTATTGATCAGTAATAAAGAGGAAAAACTTTGTTCGCACATATAAGTTGTGCAAAACTGGAGCAATATTTCAATAGTTGCATTGGAAACGTGCGCCTGTATTCTTCTTTTATTAAAATTCAAAACACATCAAGTGGAATTTTGCTGAATTTCAGTCTTAGCGTTCTGTCATTTCTTACTTCAACGAAATTTTCTCGAATACGCAGGAGTAATTCTTTCGTTAACATTTCAGCACTAGTTGAGAAAGGATTCCGGATCCAGTCGTATCGTTCATTGTTAATTGCGAAAAAGTACCAGTGCTTATCTTTGCTGTATTAAAGTTAAGTGCTTTTTCGCCAAATTTGACACGAAACCGTATTTAAGTGGCGCATAAGTTTACTCGGAACCATTGCTTCATTTGAAAGTTGCTCCCCACAAATAACGCAGACTGGTTTTGGAGCATCTTTGTTACCACAGCAAGAAAATTCATGTTTAATGTAATCTTCTCTGTATTTCCTTTCGACAAGTTTTTTTATCCCAACGTTGCTTGTGCTAGGCACAATATGCTGCTCAGTATCAGATGTTTTTTTTTAAATTATCCATTTTGCTAAACTTTAACACTCCTTGACTTTTTTTTATCAAAGACCACTGGGCAAGCACTGATTCTGCAAACTCACACTTAGTTTTATTTATATTCGATTACTACACGTGCTATGTTTTAGCCTCGACAATAGGCATTACAATATATCTGCTTGCCATATAAGCCTACTCCTTGTTACGTCACAAATGCACAGTGACAGAAATTTGACTTGGTGTCGCTCAAGCTAACGTAGAAGCATGTTAACTTTACGTTAGTAGAGTAGAGTAGTAGACTAAGGTAAAATTAACAAAGAATAAAAAAAATTGTAAAAGAGAGAGAAAAGTTGCAATTCCTGTGCGGCACACCTGGTATCATCTCGCGGCACACCGGTTGCGGAGCACTGATCTAGATCACAAAGCACGACATTTCAGCATTAGCCCATTCAACTGCCGAACTTGTATTGATTCGATTGTCTGACACCTCAAAGAAAAGTTCCAAGTTTGGATATGAGGTAAGTGGCCATTTTGCATTTCGGGGTTGATTAGCTGTAAGCAACCAAGTTGAGAGAACAAAAATATGCGCGAGATTACAGTTTTGACAGAACGAACTTTTCCACTCAAATCCCATACTTGCCATTGTTGTCTATCCCGCAAAACTATATACACGAGCATATTTATTTTTACCCGTACAAGACTGTTTTCGCAAGTTAGCTGATCAAAGCAAAAGTTTAAACCAGCATATTTACAGTCGCGCAGAAGTTCATTCCCGCTGAATTGCAAGTTCATTCTTGCATAAGCAATCTTACAGGGAAGACGACCAAACCACATCGCTGAAGCTCTGTGAAGTGCGCACTCAGTCACGTTTTTAAAGATTGAGCGGTAGAATACTGCTGATATTCTATCTTTTTGTACATTTCTTTAGGCTATGTTTCAGTACAATTTTGTTGGAGTATAACCCAGGCTGGCACCGTAATCAACGGCGTTGACAACACAGATTGGTGAAAATTTGTACATTACATCGGGGTATGGTAACAAAGGATGCTTGGAATCGTGTCCCCGATACAGGTGACATCTGTGAAGAATCGGAAAATCTGAACTTTGAAAAAGAGTTTAGAATTTTCTGTACATAGTGTGCGTACTTTTTATTAATCGAATTTTAGATTATGTATTATACTTCTTAAAGCAGATAATTTCGGTTTGAGAAATCAGCAAAACTATGGATGGGTATAGATTCGGTTCCCGTACATTTGAACCCATACTAACCCTAACCCATTGGTTTTAGCAACCGCATATAGATTCAAATGAAGTTGAATTTGCACCCACATATAAAAGCAGGACGTCTTTGTTGTGTGATATGACAATGAGCATTTATTATGATCAATTAACTGTTCTCATATTCAGCATAAAGAGATCACAAAGTGCATCTTTCCGTTCCTGTTTTCTTCCATATTAAGTGCTTTTATCAGTGGCTCAGTCCGATACAAATGTAGGCTTCAGTCTGTGCGATTGGTGATACCCGCCAGCAGCCGACGTGCGCGAATACTTCCTATGCGATGGAAGTAATACCAGTCACAGATTACGGTTAACCTAATATTCCTTCCGCAATGTTTATTTTATCGAATAAATACCCGAAACAAATAGGGGGAAACTCCTGCTGCCAACAATCGGCTGCGTGTATTTCCCTTCCGTCGCGCCTCGTTTCAGACCTCGTATTACGTCTGTGGCGTTGTATGATTGGAGTTTCAACCGGTGGCGTGACCAATCACAGCGAGCCAGCTCTTGTTTTCAGTGACGTAACTTTTACGTGTGCGTTCATTCACGGTACACGCTTGCTATTGCTACAGAGTATTGCGGCAAGCTTACGCTCAGTCTTCAGCCGAATTGCCTTATAGATTCATGCATTTTAGTTGATATACAAGTGTAAGCTTGTTTAGATTTGCGAAGTATGTGACAGTGTACTTGAGTTTATTCAAATGGGCTTATTTTTCTTCTAATAATCTTTTTCACATCAACCAGGGTTCCAATAAAGTAGTAATTAGGACAATAAAAAATGAAATTCTTTGTCACATTTATATGTCTATTAGTCTTGGCCAAAGTCAATGCGGAGGTATACTTCAAAGACTATTTCACAGACGGTGAGTGTTTTCATATACCGGTAATTTAAGTTTACTGGTTTAGAAAAAGGTGACCGAAGTAAACGTCTGAACGTATTTCCTTGCCCACAACAACCTTAAACCACAGTGTCTGGTGTGTTTTCAAGTAGCATTTGCCACAAAAGAATAAATTTTTAAGCGGCATTTCAAAACCAAACATGAGAAAAGATACCGAAAATACCACCTTATTTCTTGGGAAACAATTTAAAATGAAATAAAACTAAAAACTAAAAGCTTTATACTGTTATATAGTTTCCTTGAAAAACTGATTAAAACGATAAACTCTTTATTCCTAAATATATTTGAAGTGAGTGAACTCGCGACCTTTGATCACTTTTGGGTCCGCAAGTACTCCTCAAAAAATTTTTGCGGCCCTTCATCCTCGCATACTTGGACCACTCTGTCCTGTATCATTATAATTCGAAAATTTAAACGAACACAGTTCTATAACGTCAGACATAAAAATGCCTTTTAGAGAATATTAATGTGTTTTTCTCAACATTGTAACCCTGGAAAGATCGAAGTTACACTCCTATAGTTTTGAAATGTTCCGAAGAGACGGACAACTCACCAGACCTCTCTGTAGTCGAGTTGTCTCTGTTGAGTTGTCCGCTCTGATTATAGTACCGTTAGTTGTTCTCCTATATAAATAAATATCTTCATACCATAATAAAAACCTCACTGATGGGAACCTCGACTCTCAATGCAACAGCCAAAGTATTTTCTTATTATTTATAGCGGATTGGGAAGCTCGGTGGAAAGAATCTAAACACAAATCTGATTATGGAAAATGGATTTTAACAGCAGGAAAATTTTATAATGATGAAGAACAGGATAAAGGACTCAAAACTAGTGAAGATGCCAAGTACGTTAATGATAATCTTTCCATGAAGATTTTTTTCAGAAATCTGCAAATTGAAGAAAATTTAAGTCCAAAAATAATCGAGTTCTAATTTTTGGACCTTGCGTAGTTTTGTACCTCAAGTACTTCTAGCGGGCGTAGCGTAAGGATTTTGACCCTATGTCAATCCTAACCCTCACCTGACTACGCCATCCAAAAATTACGACACTACGACGTCACAAAATTATTTGGCTACGCCCACTAGAAGTAACTGAGTTTTGAAACTACACCAGACCCTAATTTTCAATAGACCATTTAATAGGCCACACAGTAGTATTGAGCATGTTGAACCAAATTTATTAGTGTGTGTGGTTTAAAGATGGTAGTTGCAAATTGTGAATAGTATACCCACCCAGGAAGATTTTGCTCGTATTTGATCTTATATGCACTCCGTCTGTTGTGATTTATTTTAAGTCTCGTTTGTATTGTAGTGACGTATCAAATTTTTTATTTCAGATTCTATGCAATTTCTTCTAAATTTGACAAATTTTCCAATGAGGATAAAGATCTCGTCATTCAATTCTCTGTCAAGCATGAACAAAATATTGATTGCGGAGGAGGATATATCAAACTTTTCCCATCTGCATTACAGTCTGAAGATATGCATGGAGATTCACAATATAACATTATGTTTGGTAAGATATGACTTGACCATTGAATGCAGGGTGATGTGGAATTGTCAGCTTACTGTTGTTCTTGTTGAATGAAGCCTAGCCCGGCCCAGATATTTTGAGAGCTAACTATTGTTAAATACTTGATATGGCAGTACAAAATATATCAATTGTTAGTGTGCTTTTGAATAAAATTAGTGATAAACTAGGTTAAAAAAATTCTTGATTTTGATTTCCTTTCTAAAATTAAATCATCATTAATAAGTATGTTTTAACGAACTTCATTGTGCAATTTTTGCCATTGTAACTAAATATTATTGGAATTTCTTGCTGGTAATATTCATCAGTATCACTCACAGACCCGGTTTGGTGATGAACATCTTAAGTGTTTGTCGTGTTACGTAATTCATATTTTTGCTAAGTGGCAATGATGTAGCAACTGAACGTGTGTCTACGTTTTGTTTATACCAAATCTTTCGTTTCAGGTCCTGATATTTGTGGGCCAGGTACTAAGAAAGTGCATGTCATCTTTCATTACAAGGGAAAGAATTTACTAATTAAGAAAGATATCAGATGTAAGGATGATGAAACTACACACGTTTACACCTTAATTGTGAAACCAGACAATACGTATGAAGTTTTAATTGACAATGCAAAAGCACAATCCGGAAGCCTGGAAACCGAATGGGATTTCTTGGAAGCAAAAGAAATTAAAGATCCTGATCAATCTAAACCTTCACAGGAAGAATGGGACGAACGTGAGAAGATCCCTGACCCAGATGCAACAAAACCAGAGGTTTGTTGGCGCTCCGGAAGTATGTGCACCAAGAAGGCGCACAACCTGAATCCGAACCTGGCTCACATACTATGTTCAGGTTGTGCGTCCATCTTGGTGCACATTGGGAGCACTGGTTTTCACCTGTTACCTTTCTCAACCTTCATTAAAAAAAAATTAATAAATAATAGTATCTCAAGTCATACTTGAGCTATCCTTTTATTTTCCTTGCGGGGCCTGATGCAATATCTTTTAAAACTTCTGTTAAAAGATGCATTTTAATAATTGCAAAAATATTGCATTGCTAAAATCTGAAATTGACCTGCTTTCAACCATTGAAGACTGTCAACATTTTAATCAGTGGTCTAAATTTTAAGTAACAATGTTTGTATTTTATTTACTGTAAATGTCTTACATAGCATAATTCAAAAGAGATGTATATTTATTACTCTCTTTCTGCTGTTTAGTATTAACTTGCATTTTTATCTGAAGGATTGGGACAAGCCCGAACACATTGTTGATCCTGATGCCACAAAACCTGACGATTGGGATGAAGATATGGACGGCGAATGGGAAGCTCCAATGATCGATAACCCTGATTATAAGGGTGAATGGGAAGCCCCAATGATCGATAACCCAGACTACAAAGGAAAGTGGGTCCACCCTATGATTGCCAACCCCGCTTACGTTGCAGATGATAAGTTATACTGTATGAAGATATCGGTGCTATTGGTCTGGATTTATGGCAGGTTTGTTTAATTAATATCAGACTTGGATTAATTTTGTAAATCAAGTAAAGTCGGCTTGACCGGGACACCGATAGCATCCTGTGTGGCCTTCACCTACTTCATATATGCGAATTGTCCGAACTATCGCAGGGCACTTAGTGCCACTTATACACTTAATAAGGATTTAATTAAAGTTCGTACAATGCAATCTGAAATGCGAAAGCTCATATGGTTATTAAGATCGGGCATTTTGAACTAATTTGCCAAAATGACGCTTTTTTTATTATTTCCTGTTAATAAACTGTTTTAGTTGCCTCATCATGAATGTCTTTTTGCAAGATAAAAGTGCGTGTGTTGTATGTGATTTATTCTTGTGGAGTATTTTTTGACAGTAAAAATTTATGGGTGCTTGTGATTTGTAAATACATCCTAACTTCTGCAAACAGTTTACTAATGCCTAGTTTTAACCAGTGCCAATTAAGTAAGATATCTGATTGCATTTTTTGATGTTGTATCGCTTTCATCATTTGGTTATGTGAGATATGCTCGATAAGTAGATGTTTTATTTATTTTCATTTTGTAGGTCAAATCCGGAACTATTTTCGATAATTTCCTTATCACTGATGACATTCAAACTGCAAAAGATGAATGCGATAAAATCATGAAGGAGACTGTTGTTGGTGAAAAGAAAATGAAAGAAGCGAAGGAGGAGGAAGATAGAAAAACGGCAGAAGCCGAGAGTGAGGATGATGATGAATGAGGAGGATGTAGCTGATGACGAGAGTGTGAGTAAAAACATTTTTTTTGTGATAGTGAAGTATAGCTTCAGATTTGTCTCTGCTGCCTAACTGCCAAGTTAAATTGGATATCTAATTCATTTTATCAATGTTCAATTATTTTATCATTGCTATATCAGGGTTGGGCAAAGATTTAGGGCCAGGGGCCAAAAATTCTGTCCACTTGGACTGGTGGGCCATGTAAACGTTATCTAAAAACATTTTATAACAGTATTTATATACAGTGTTACAAAAGCAAAAGTGGAAAACAATGAGCCTTGTGCCGAAACTAAATTTCCTCGCAATCTAAAAAAATTCTTGGTCTAATTTTTAGCTTAAACATCAAAATAGGTTTTAGTTTAGGTAATCATAATGGTTTAATGTCCGTGTTTAAAATAGTAAAGCCATTGTTACATATGGGATACTTACCGGTAATGATTTGATATAGATTAAGGAATGGCTTGGGAAATGATTGATACATTTATTTTAGAATTGAGAAGTAAATGAATTTTTGCAGCGAGATTATGATTTATTCCATTTTAAGTATAATTTTTTGTGTATTGTTATTGGTGGTGCAACAGTATATGAATTACTGAAGAAAAATCGTATTGTATAACAAAATGTATTAGAATATTCAACTCCTGGTGTTGGGGACACTCGTATTTAACTGCCCTAACCTTTATTGTATCTCTATTATATTATATTAGTTCAGTTATGGGAAAAGGATTTTTTAAAAACTCTAAATTTATGTCTAATGTTTAAGATGGTCAGTTGTGCATAGTATTGTATTTCTTAAATAAAAGTTTTCTTTGTAGTGTTTATCAAATTATAAGGCAGTATCATATTTGGTAGAAATAACCTAAATTAAAAGTCTGTACAATGTTGTCTAACTTTGACTCACTTCACAGGACGAAGGTTTGGATGAACCAGAAGATTTAGACGAACCGGAAGATGAATTAGATCAAACGGAAGATGAAGAAGAACAAGATGAAGCGAAACAAGAAAAAGATGAATTGTAATTTCTTCGCCACTGTTCATCAAATCAATGAAAAGTTTTATTTATATTTGACAATTCCTAATGTTCGCCCCTTAGCCAATAAGCTGTCAAAAAAGTGCAACAAATTTGACAGCATTCTGCAGTAATTAAAATCTATTCTGGGGCAGAGTTTGAAACGATGGCCGAATGAGAATATCTCCTTTGCATTTTGGTAATAAAAATTTTCTAGAATTCTGCTAAATCATATTAGTTCATAAATTGTACTCAATTGAGAATACTAAATTGAGAAATTTTGATTTTCCGATTATGAATTTCAAAAAGATGTTGGGAGACTAGTTTGAGATGGCCTTAATAGAATCATTGCTCTTTACATTAAATTACTGATAGTTGCAAATTTTTTTAATATTCCCGAAGCGATATTGATCTGACTATGGAAAAGTTCAAATGCCATAGTGATTTCTTTATAAATTTGTATTCTCAGATAGGATGGTCTTAGTTTGCCATAATGAAGCATCATGCATTTTTGGTTGGTTCCATTAAAATCTTGTTTTTTACACCTGCTTGTCAGTTTTACATTTTTTTTGCTGGAAGCTTTTGTCTCTTTAAGAAAAATAATGCAGTACGCATGGCCGGAAAACCAGCTAGTGAAGCAATTTGTGTGTTTGTTATAGTATATTACCTGTAATTCATTTCTTTAAGGCATTATTTTGAAATTCCATTTCTTCAGTGGCGTGAAGGCTTTTTTGTTCACTTCCAAATACCAATGTAGTTCTAATATCTAGTTCTAAATATCTAGCTTACGTCTGCAACTCCATTCAATACGTTTTTGTTTATTGGGAGTGAGAGCCTTCGACATTGCCTGCTTTGTGGATTTTGAGTAAATCGTCTTAAGTTCGTATTTAGAAACATTTTACTCACCGCCTTGTGATGGATTTTTGCGTGAGCCACTATAAAATTAGGATTGTGCTCTTGACTATTTAGTGGTAATAGATTTTTTTTTATGAATGTTAAAACAATATTCTTCATCTGTTTCGAATTTCGCCTTAGTATGTCTATAATCCAGGGCAATTTGGCAATACCTTTTGTGATTGGATCCAGTCCATTAAAATACAATTCTATTAAAGAGCGTGGTATGTTAATTCTTTCTACATAAGCCGAAAGGACATACCCACTGCATCGTCTAGGACAGGGGTTGGCAAGGTTTTGGACCAGTGGTCAAAAATTCTGCACATTTAAACTGGCGGACCATGTAAGTGACATTTTATAAACAATATTTGCTGTTCAAAAAAGCAAAAGTGGAAAACAATAAGCCTCTTGCCAAAACTTAATTAATCGCAATGTCGACGAACTACTACAGCTGATTTGGTTGTGATATCATCGGGCAGGCCCGATTGAATAACCGAACGGACCAGATTTGGCCCGCTGGACATAGTTTGTCCATGTCAAGTCTAGAAATAGAGTACCGTAAAATTTTTCTCCTACAGCTGTTCATATTCAATCCCCTGTGCATATTTTAAACGTGACTGTGGAAAGTGTCAGTAGCTCTGATCCCAACAGATGACATGTTTAGGTCTTAGTTTGGAAGCGGCGCTTTGACTAATAGGTTTCGCATGGCTCTGACTCTTATGTAATAAGACTTCGTTGTTCGAACCTTGGGTCCACTTAGTGTGAATGGAATAAAAATAATCCCAAGAAAATAGACCATTTTGTTAGCTATTTCATCTCTGCGCAAGAAAATTTAATATATACAAGAACTGGTCGCTCGTTGTGATCTTTCGACACATGCTACAGAAATGTATGCAGTCTTGATGATGCTAGATTTTACTTATCAAGAAAATTGGCGATGTCAGATGTGTGGAATGCCCATCTCTTTGTCTAAGATGCTGAAAGTCGTAGGTATATCGCTTGTTGATAAGCGATGGAACTAATTTTATTGAAATGGGTGAAAGGTTGAAAATGAACAAGGGTTCGTTGTAATTAACAAATAGGTCTAGAGCAGTGGTTCTCAAAGGTTATTGACCGAGGGCCATAATAAGAAGCGGAAGTATAATCGCGGGCCGGGAAAGGGTAGCTCCAGCAAGCGGCCGAAGCCGGTACGTATAATTAAGATAGTGATACAATTGAATTGTTACGAATATACACTTTTCAAACTGTGATAATGACGTAACAATTGGCGGTATGTAGAACGCGAAAAGGTAAAAACATAAAGTGTTAAACTATTTCACTTAAGTTCGGCGGGTCATATTAAATTGTTAGGCAGGCCGCAGTTTGAGAACCACTGGTCTAGAAAGTGTCCGGCAACTTCGTGTTTGTATATCTATGTCTTGTTCATCATATTAAAGTTCTTTCTCGCACAGAAAATAGGTTTCTTTCTTGCATTTATCATCAAATATTTTTCCATCTTTATTTATGTCTGCGCAGCGTTGATTTGCTTTATTCGGTTGACCTTTTTTCCAAGGTGTGTTGCTGCGAGTAGATTTTACTCCATCGCTCCAGATCCACACATTTTGAGTTTTTATATCATCGAGTCCGATGAATATGTAGTCTCCATCGGTAAGGTTAAACAAAGATAAGATTTCACTAAAATATATAATATTGAGTAAGACATTTATTCTCGTGAAGTAGGTAAAAATATTAGTACTCCCGTGGTATGTAAACCAAGACGGCAGACACCGAAACGTAGTATGTGTACCATGTTAGGGTGGGCCATAATTTCAGGTACAAATACTACGTGAGTCACTTGGCTAGTCCCCGAACTCGTAATAGAACTGAAATAAGGAAAATTGGAATAAAATTATGGCCCAACCCGAACCTGGTTCACATACTACGTTCCGGTGTTCGCCATCTTGGTTCACATACTACGGGGGTACCAAAATATACGTGGCATACGGGTTGAATATTAGACATTGATATTAATTAGAATGGTCGGTTCTGAGTCACGAAAGAGTGGATATTTTTTTCCTCATTGAAGTTATGTTCTGATTGAAACATTCCGGCGTACGTATATGCTTAGTGGGTTAACACTTTTTTGTTGGGGTATGAAAGGCGATATTAACTCGCCAATTGGTGAAAAAGGTATAGAAAAAATAAAAATACGGAAATATTTATATCAGGCAGAGATGGTGAAGCTGAGTCTTTCAAGGCAGAATTGTTGGATTAATTATGTGACATGGACGAAAATTCAGTGTTATTTTATCATTTGACTTAAACCGCTTCGCGAGTAGTGTTAATATTTATGTATTCAACAATTCTAAAGTTTGAAGTATTCAACGCATTTATGATTTGCGTTAAGTAATTATATATCACTTTTATGGCAAATATATCGAGTTTCGTCAAAAATCGCCAATTTTACGTAAGACCTATTTCTTGTATAAATATCCAAGAATGTCTGGAACCTCTTGCTTTCTGAGTAACATTACACGTTACAAACGTTACTAACGATTGCATACTAAACTTTAGCAATAATTGTATATATATAAAATTACGATTTCGCACATTTTCTTATATATACGAGTATTAAACTTTAGTCATGAACAAATGTCCAAATGTTTTTCTATTCAACGTCGATATCGTCGGAACCCTAACCATGTCTTTAATTGGCTCTAAACCAAAATCGTTTTTCTTTTCTTATCAATGGAGAATCCCACTGTCTGAAAGACAAGCACGATTATTTGCGTAACACATCTTACATAAGTCTTACATAATTCGCGATTTTACTATTTTTTGCATAATTATTTTTAAATTAGTCATATCATACTTCTTTCTGAATTGATCATACAGCCGATATCAAACTACATTTTTGATAAGATGGGTGCGTTCGATTAACCAATGCTTATTTATTATATTTCTCCTGTGCATATAAATAATAAATCCGTTATTGCAACCATTTAGACTGGTAGCTAACAAAATAACGAAGTCTTTCATTATATACAAATACTAAATGTAATTGATATACACTTATACAGTATTTGCAAAACTACTTCGAAATATAGTCATTTACTCACCCATGGACGGTGGGATCCCTCAATCCGGTAGACGCCAATCTTGCACCTTCTTCTTTACATGCTGTTTTCGCTTCTGCATATTTCATTTTATCATAATGTACTTTGTACCAGAGACCATTCGACGCCTTATACCATCCTGTGCTCTGTAGTTCATTAACTTCAGGGGAAACTGGAACGAAACGACATTTTACCATATTTGGGATCAACATTTTACGAAGTATATGTAGATCAAACATCCCTGATCTCTCGTGGAATTTTTTAGATTTTGACATATAATAAACTTAGTATCATATTATGTAAACTCACTAATTACCAAGCATTCCGTACTGCTTTACGTCAACAATAAAGTATGTGGCTCTCAATACTCGAGTGACTCGATAGATACCGTGTTCCTCGAAAAATAACACTAGGGACTATTTTTGGGGCTGTCTTTTATTATCATTTATCAAAAAGAAAATTACCAAGTAGAGAAATACAAAATTTTAAAATGTACAAAATATGAAAACCAATATCCAAGTTACTTATAAATAGCTCGTCTTTATTTAAAAAAAAAAAACTGCATTTTAAGAGGAGGGCTTATATTTAAATCATTTTTGAAATCCAGGCTAGGTCTTATTTTCAGGCTATAGGTCTTAATTTTTGGAGAAACACAGTAGGCCACCTCATAGATAGAAAAAACTACGTTCCATTGTAAATGTTTATCCTTATTCGGTTTAAAAATACACTCATCTGTTCATAAATGCATTCGTTTAATATCTATATTGCATTTATCGATACAGACACTTAAAATACCTTTGGAAATGATTGTTAGGAAGTATTCCATCTAAACAATTCATAACTAGTATTATAATTTATCCGTATAAGTTACTTTGTGGATTATTGCAAAAATTTATATTTGTTGATGAAAGATAATTATCGTAAAAACAGACATTATTATTATGTTACCAGTATAGCTTACCTGTCTCACCTCTAATTTCTTTTATTGCTTTCTCTAATGCAGACAAACGAGCCTCAATATCAGTTCCCTGACTCTTGCAATCACAGTTTGCTCCGGGTGGTCCGACAGCACCTTTTATTCCGGCTGGACCAGGAGGCCCTGGTAGTCCTACTGGGCCACGCTTGCCAGGGTATCCCAACACTCGCTGTTCTCGGGGCATTGAGATTCCGCTATCATCATTCTCTTTACATGTTATACTGCATGACTCAAGGAACATGCTTGCCTCTGCTCCAAAACAGAAAATACACAAGGCAAAACTGCCCAATAACAATTGCAATACCATACTTCGTTACAAGCCGATCGATCACTTAGTGTGATATGAATTTATTTTTTCGTAGGGAAAGGGCGTTTTCGAACCGCACTAAAAAAAGATCATTCAACATAGATCAAGATCGACGCAACCGCGCCACGGTGGCCAACTAATGCGTTATTTAAAAATATATATATATATATATATATATTGAATTCAACTATTTAACGAACTGTTGAATTCACGATGATACTGCTTCTGCCTCACCATAAATAGTTGTGGAATAGAAACAAACTATCTACATATTATTAAATTAGCAGCAATTTCCATATCGAATAGGTTAGCCACCGACGGCGAAACTGAAAAATCTGAATATGACCATCCGACTCTTTACACTTGTGCCATATGGATAAAATTAATTTATTAGTCACGAAGTGGCCATTTTGATCGTTTTGCTAAACAATTGTTATTATTCTTGTAATCTTGTTATTATTGGGCGCTTTTCTCCGCAACTATTTAGCCAATATATTTCAAAAAGTTGGCTATTATATCAAATATTTGGGGAAATTTTTACCTTGAGTTCTAAGAAGACCGCTTTTTTTCCGTAATTTCGCTGTTTCATTTTAATTCAACACTTTCGCACCGCTCTTGGTGGATTGCTTTGTCGTGTTAGTCGAGAAATCGCCGTTTCTTACATTAATCGAAAGGGGGCTAAATTTGTTTAATTGTTCATTTATAGTCGGTTAATTTGTTTTTTAAACTATTTTTGGCTATATCATAGAAATTTCAGTTCAAACCTCTTCCACGTTTCCACATCTACTGTTTTACCAAACACAAAATTGAAATAAATGTACTGGTGGACTAGCAGTGCGACACATCGTGATAGGTGGTGAAGTTTGAGTTAGAAAATTAATTATAAATATTAAGGATTTATTGGTAGAAACTAGGTGACAGCTGCAGTTTGTCGAACCGTATTGTCCACATCTTTAAGCATTGCCCACTTGTTTAAAAATCAAATTGGGAGGTAATGTGACAAACATAAAACTAACTAACTTGATTTAACTGCTCCTAGAACTTCCGTAGCGTTCACATATACCCGGATAAAAATACAAATTTTCAACGTAACTCAGATTGCATATGAAATCAATTTGTGGTTACTTAGATTTAGAGGATTAGACTACACGTAAGACGTAACCATGTGTGATTTGATGATAGTCAGTATCTTTTGTTGGCGCTCCAGAAGTATGGGTACCAACAGAGATGTAACTAAAATTTTGTTAGCCTACTTTACATCAAGTTGTGTATAAGGACTGAAGCCTATGGACAGGCGGTATATTCACTTGGCTAACACAAACAGTCCCCGAACTAGAATAAGGGAAATCGGAATAAATTTAGGGCCTAACTCTAACGTTGTACACATACCACGGAGTTATCTTTTGTTTACATCAAACTTGTGTGCATTTTAATTCCGGTTCTTGAATAGGCTCTGTCATTGTAGGCGTTAAGAAAACGAAATGTTTCTGAGAGAGTGAAATAAGTAATTGTGCCATTATTTAAATTTCCCATCGAGAGAAAAAAATAAATGTGTCGTCAACATAAAGTAAAATTCTAAAAGGAATAAACAAATTTACAACATTATGATATGAGGCTTCTTATCGTCTACAATTTTTCAACGACCTTTTTTATTAGGATACCTTAACCTTGATTTTATTTTTCAAATAGATAAATTAGACACAGGGCCGGCTTCAGCTACTGCGGGGCACTATGCGAGACGTTTTGCACGGGACCTAGTTTGAGCATGCAGAATAATAATAATTGAAATTAAGATTTTGTGATAATTATTGAATTTTTCTTTATTACTTTTTAACCAAGTACAAAATTAGGAATAAATTGGTGTAATCTTACGAGCAATATATGCAGCAAAATTAATCTATCTTCGTGAATTGTCGATCTCAAGTAATTCTTGATTAATTAGAGGCGAGAAAAGCTTTTTTCACCGGAGGAAGGAAGCGTAGGGAATATAATGAGCAATAAATTATTTGAAAAAGACGGGCATCGCCTAGAATCTAGATATACCGCTGCGCTTATGGTGGAGCGGGACCCCACTGCGGTCGCAGAGGTTGCAGTGGCATAAGTCTGGCCCTGATTAGACACATGACAACAAATAAAAATGTTTATGCAGAAAAATTTCAATATATACTGTTTTTGACTCACAAAAATCTACGCGATTTTAGAACTATGCCCCTGGACCAAGTAGATCAGTGGTAACTAACCTTTAAAAATACCTACGTCAACCTATTTTTGAACTTTTTACTCCAACCTTATTAAGCTTAAACCTTTAGTTTTCCTCATTTGTTCATCTTCTAGGTAATCTTAAATGCAACTTACACTCTATAGATTTTGTATACCGATGGGTGGGAATTCCTCCCCGTTTGGGGACCATTGTGAAATTAGACAATCAACAAGAATAAAACATGGAAATTCCATGAAGTTTCCAAAACTTCAAAAAAAGTTTAAACATGAAACATGAGAGTACTACATGAATAATTTCATCTTGTACAATATTAGTGATAAAACACGATGATTTACTGGCTGATCAAGCTTCAAGCATGCGGGCGTTTGTAATATTACATGCCAATGGCATACACGCAAGAGCAGGGGAATTACAAATAATAAAAGTGAAAATACAGATTTATATCGCGCGATTGTTGTATGCAATTTAAATTAAATCTACCCGTACAAGCAAGAAAAATAAGTGGGAAACTCAAAACCAACTGATTCAACTTCGCTGTCTATGAGTCACTGGTTTTTACTGCGAGATTGACGTTAGGTATAATTTGGGCGTTCACGGAATTCTGATATACTGTGTGACCAGCTGCGATAAATTCGTAAACTGGTATCTTTTTTCAGTATACAAATAAAAAATAAACTTATTTTGCGTTGGTTTGCTAGTCTTGAGACAGCATGCTAATGTTCGTCCGTTAGTCGTGTGCGGAGGGCTGATTAGGTAACTTTCATTGTTAAAAAAAACTGCTCGCAAATATGAGTACTGTCGAACATCGCAAGTATGCGACGTGAGTGTGCAATTACTTTGCGAACCTTTTTTCGGACACAATGATCAGACCAAAACTCGTTTATTTCGTCATAATAAAAATGCGAAATAAATTATTGAATTTACGAAATAATTTGCACAATAGAGTAAAATATGGGTAATCCCGCAATGTGTGCACCAGGTAAGGGTCAGGCCATAATTTTATTCCGATTTTCCTTATTTTAGATCTATTACGAGTTCGGGAACTGCCTGTGTTAGCAAAGTGGATGGGCTTCCGTCTCTTTACACAACTTGATGTAAAGTAGGCGAACAAAATTAGTTACCTCCATATTGGTACAAACACTTCTGGAGCGTGAAAATATGAACGTGGTAAAGTGGAATAACAGAGGGAGATTTTTGTTTCCCTTTTTACAGCTTGTCGGACCAGACTCTTGATGTTAAATAACAGAACTTAGAATCGCGGTCCGCGTATTGAAGACCCCTAGAGTATAATGTATAATTTCAAGACTTCAATATTCATTAGATAGAGTAGTCTCCTTCTTTGTAATTAATTTACAACCGATATAAATATGAAATTACATAATCGATATGCCCTTGCTTAAACCACTCCAATGGATAAACAGCCTGAAAACAACCTCACAGTTTCAGAGTTAATTTAAGGCAACTTTCATGATAAAACCCTGAACAATCTTAGATGTTTGCTCTAGCAATTATATTTCGCCACAGCCCACTTGAGTGAGTGTATTCTGACAGCGTGACTCCGATTGAGAGATGACTCATGGTTTGCAGTTCAATTTTTAATGATGCCAATATTTAAATGAAAAATGAAGTACACAAGTAAAAAGTAAAGGTGCTCCCGAAGTATGCGAACCAAGATGGCGGACATCGGAACGTAACATGGGTAACAGGTTAGGGTTAGGCGATAATTTTTTTCCAATTTTCCTTATTTTAGTCCTATTATCAGTTCGGAGACTAGCCAAGAGCCTCCCGTAGTATTTATACCTAAAATTATGGCCTAACCCTAACCTAGTACACATATTACATTCCGATGTCCGCCATCTTGGTTCGCATACTTCGGGAGCCCCAAAGTAAATATACAAACACATTTTAAATGTCTAAAAAGATATTGAGTTTGAACATGTCAGAATTTGTATTTTTAAGTCGCTTGAGTGTCAAGCTCAGTTGGTGCAACTGATTCATAAAACCGATGATCTGTTTGGAAAGTTTATCACTGCAATGTATTGCTATCACCAAATTCAGCCAGTTATAAGGCATTGCAACTTAAAGATTACTTCCAATACATATCATATTTAAAAAAGTTTAAACAAACTGTTTACAGATGTTAGAAATTTATCTAATTTTGATCAATATTACAAATTGCTTGCTAATTTGGCTTAATTTTCATTTGGACAAATTTGAGGGAATAATCATCCCCATCCCAAAATTTCCAAGATACCCCATTGCCTCCAGGCCCTGACGAACTTTTGTAATATTTCCCATTCAGATTTGCTCTATAACAAGTATCATACCACCATGCTCCATGATAATATTCAGCGCAGTGAGTACTGCTATGTGCATCATTATCTCTATCATGGGTACTAAATGGTTTAGCATTGTGATAACTCATCCCATCCGTTGCATTTCCGGAGTATCCCGATACAGTGAGGCGATAATTTGAATCTTCGTCTCCAATTCGGAAGGTACTGAACAAATATAAAATAATCATTTGTACAAAAATTGTTTTATGTTCACCAATTACGCCATCAATATTATATCGTCACCCTAATAACAAAATTGCGTAAGTCATTTTTATCGGTTCCAAGAAAAACATAAAAAAAACTTCTTGAAGATATTGTTATGCTATTAAGAGTAAATAATTTCCTATAGCTCAATTTTTTAGCCGTAGCCGGATCTAAATTATTTTGTATGACGCCAGCCCGTGACGTCATAGGACAGACGCAAATATTCCAACTTGACTATATCCATCTATCATGCAAACCAAACATTCGGAAAATATATGTCATGTACAATATCCACGATCTCTAATTCCAAAACAGTTTATTTGTTTTAATAAAATAATTTATAATTCCTGAAATACATACTTTATCAATTTGACGCGCTTTGCACACCCACCGATAATAAGACTAATATTATACTTAAATACCTATCTATTAAAGTATACACTGTAAATCAAGTGTCACGACACCGGAAGTAAGCGAATATTTAATATGTTTTGCGTGCATGTTCAATCGTGAAATACCAGTCCAGATACGCAAGTTTTATATTCCTTATGTTATTCATAATAAAAAAATGAGACCTGTAAGCAGCATTTCTTTTTTCGCCTTCCCAGTTTAAGAGATCAATTCGTAAACTATAGCTTTTTCTTGAAGTCATTTTGTGGAGCTTATCTAGACCTGAAAAAAATTATGAAATTCAAAAATAGAACAAAAAATGAAGTAAAAGTAAAATAATACAAAGTAAAAGAAATAATAAATAAAGTTAAAGCATACAAATATTTCTTTCATACAATAACTTGTTTTATGCCATTTTTATTATGATCTTTTAAGCTTGAACCGTTTACAAAATAAGCTTTTTACCCAGCCATAACTCTCCATCAGGATTTCCGAAGCCATTTTTGTAATCCTCCCATCCTCTGTAAAAATCTACACTTCCATCCATTCTACGTTGAATAACCTTTGAGGAAAAATGGAAATGTTTAATTTTTTGTTAAGAAGTGTCGTATCATAGAGCATTAGTTAAAATAGCTTATTATAATTTGTAACAACTATTTTTGTATATCAGATCTAATCGATGGCCATATGCCCAGCTATTTTTGTTGTTTTCCGCAATAGCTAGGTAAGAGATTCATTGGCTTTTTTCATCATAAGTGGCGCGCCCTAAGTATGAGGTATTAATAATTTATGTTTACTTGAAAAAACATCAAAATTTTAGTGAACTCGTATGCCCTCTGCGAGATTGCTTTACCTACGGGAGAACAAGGAATGAATGCACATAAACTAAAGTAATATTAGTATTCGAGTGAGAAGCTAAGCACAAGGGTAATACGGCGCCGTGCTACTGACAATCTTGAAGAATTATGGAATGGACTGTTTTTTACCACGCTGTCAATAGGATTAAGTCGATGTCAAAACGTTACACAAACGTGCGTCCAACGAGTTTTCTAGTTTGAAGGAGCATGTTCAAACAATTATCAAATAATTTAATATTCTTACTGTCCATGCGTTCGATTCATCAAAATCGCAATTAACATTTGCAATCTCTCCATCTAACGTAATCTTAATTGTTTCTTTTCCTGCAGTAACTCTTCGTCCTAGTCGAGATAAATTTTCTCTGTATTCCGAGCAATCCGCAGCTTTGTATAGTAAGTTTTCTGTATATTTTTGGTAATATTAAAAAGCAAAATATTAAAAAATTTATTTTATTGTATTAATTGCATTATTGCCAAACATATACATATTTGCTACGTTGGAACGAAATATTAGTATAAATAACTGAAGCCATTAGGTGATTTGAACAATTTTATCAACTCTAAGCAACTCTGTGCTGTGTGGTGGTGCTTACAATAATCCAATCGAGGAATTTTTCATGTCAAAAACGTTATAGGATCACTGACGTAGTCAATATATTGCCTCATTCGAATTATGGTTTGGTGAAGTTAGCGCCTACCATGCACTAAACTATCAACTTATCTAGCATGGCCGATGTACATCCTAAATGGCCGTAAATAAAAATATAAAAAAATGTTTTGTGTCCGATTGGCGCCAGCACACCTGGTTTCAACTTTTTCACGTAAAATGACTCAAGGATTTGATAGATCATATTATCAAGCATATTATGAAGAAGGAAGATTTTTTATTTCATTTGAAATGTCACTCAATGTAAATAAATATAGGCGTTGAAAATAGTCAATATTTCAAAATATTTGTTGTATTATTGATAAGGTCTCGGAGAAATTTAGCATGAGAGAGCAATTCCGGCAAGATACGCCTGCGTAAGTGAGTTCTTTCACCTACGACTGATGTGTCGGAATGAACGAAAACTGATGACACTACTAGCTTCGCCCCTTTCCCGATCAATTAAAAACTCAATACGAGAGAGACTAAATAGGAGAGAACTCTCTCGTTTTCACTTTGGCACGGAACAGTAAAAAAAAATAAAAAACTGATCGTGACATGGAGAGTGTTAAGTAGAAACATGTAGGTATATCACATACTGAAGCGGCACTCTGTATTGTATATATTGAATGGTAAAATAATGCTGTCCGCTTGATATTTTTTTTATTTTTATTTTTTTTTAAAACTTTTTAATATAGGCTAGATGTCAGTTTGACTGATTGTATTGTGTCGAATGTAGATTCTGGAAAAATTGCAAATGACTAACTTCAGATACTGTCAGACTGCTTAGTACATCCGAGTAAAATTATTGGATAAAAAATACGTTGAACTGGAGCAGAATTGACGTTTGACCTTTGACCACAAAATTATTTCTATACTTTTTATTAATTTTGAGAGAGTTTTTGAGAGTGAAAGTAGCACGTCAAAACGACAGCCCCAAAGGGCATAAAGCGAGGCAACTGTCAGACTATGGACGCCGTCTGGAGTCAATTTTACTCTGTCCTATATTAGGGCGCCTTGCAGGGATAAAGAAAATCATTTTTCAAGAATAATCTTAGGCGAACACGTTGATATCTTATATTATAATCAAGTCAATACATTTAATGATTTTGCGATTCGTCTTCCCATCTCACTTCAAACAAAGCGCTAGACAAGACAATTACTAATACATAAGGATCTACTTTGCTCGAAACCATCAGAATTTTTGCCTGTTCTGGACTTCAGGTGCTGGGAATTCAAAATTAAGATATTTGACTCGTCCTAAAAAGCGTTTAGGGGAAAAATATTGTCCGAGTGAAAAACGAGAAAGCCATACCAACCTGTACTGTGTTCGACTTTTGTAGTTTGTGGGAGTACAGTAGAAAGAAAGGCTTCCTTTGTTGACCACGGGGATGTGGCAAGGACGGTTGAAGCTTGGGCAGAAGAAGTTTCCTTGTCTTTGTATCCTGTGTGAAAAAGCTAGTTTATATTACAAGTTTAAAGCAAGATTTATAGTTTTAGGTACTTTAAGGAAAGAATGAGACAGTGAATGGCAGTGCAAAATTTTTCCTTTTCATCGTTTTCGCATAATCGCCGTATTAATAATTACTATGACTGAGGAAGACTTTTTGGATATATATTCTAATGCATGCGATGGCGAAAGACTTAGATTTTCTTACCCTGGAGAGTGGTCGTTTCTTTGACACCAACAACAGATGGGTAATTGATTGAACATATTTTTGGTCTCGTCTACTTGTTCTGTTAAAGCTGCAAAAAATAAATATAAAAAGATATTAAATTGAGCCCTCAGTTTCACAATCCATTATCAGTGAGTTTTTTTGTTGGAAGATGTACCCATCTCTATCTGATTAAAAATAAGAATATGAGATGGGTATTGCTAAACTACACGTCATGATTTGATTGTTAAAAATGGCGCGATAAAAATATAAAATGATTGAAATTTTTCTAATTAAACGATTGTTCGGGGGCAATTTTGCTATCAGACCGTTTGACAAATATGGAAAAACTAGCAAAAGTATTTCGATGAAAACCATATTGTGACACGAACCGTCCAAAGCTTCCTTTTCTTCCTTTGTGCACTGTCGTATCTGAAATAGAACAAAGGAGAAATGTTTAAATATATGGACATGGAAGCTTTAGCTGCTGGGTAAGTGTTCCCGTGAAAAAGTGTTCCCATGAATTAAATGGAAAACTTAAAATCTGGGATGAGGTATCGATTAAAGTAAGTTTCAAACCTCCGGTACTCATAGATCGATGGAAAAAATTGCTAAAAAATTAAAGTTCCTCATTTTTTTCAGATTTCAAACAGAACAGTTCAATTCCTGCAAATAATACCTCCAATATAAAAATTACTACTAACGCTATCACCTTATTAACATCTTTCCAGGTAGGTTTCCCGTCGCAAACCATGGCCATCCTGCAATCCTCTCCTGCAAGAGAATATTGAAATTAAAAATAGAGCAGAATGACCGTTCTAGACTAAGTTTATAACAGATAAACGAAAGTTGTATTACTGAATTTTTCCATATCGAGACTAAATCAGTACCTATTACCTTAGGGCGCGCATTCGCTCATTCTCTATTTAATTTCATACTGCTACCCACGTCATGCGAACGCACTATTTTCCTCGATGATGATTGGTCGAATGAAATTTGAATTATTACGCCCGCCATTGGGGAACCTTACAATGTTTAGCGGTCTTGTGGGCATGGGCGAAGTTCTGACCGATTACCGCGATTCAATTTCTGGTTTCTGATAATCGTTTCAATATTTTTTCAAGAAATAAACTCAGGAAAGTTGAATTCCACAAAGTTTGATGCTTCCTTTACACGCTTTCCTACCCAAACAAGGCTCTGTGCAATCAGCCAATGAGGGGATTTTCACAATTGGAAAATAACGTCATGTACACTGATCGGTTCAGAAGTGAAAAAAGCGAGCGATCACTTATACGTAATTAATTAACTGCTGTATTTTGGATAGGCAGTCATCTTGTTGATTCGGCATTGCTTACTCAATTTACATCACTCCGGGTGAAGTCGTGGGTATGAAGTTAAAATGAGATTTTCACTCCGCAATGCCAAAATATCCGAGTCAAACGCTCCACCAATGGGCCACCACGCCCGCTAATCGCGATTTTTCACTTCTGAATATTTGAGTGTATATGACGATATTTAAAATTTAAGTTTAAAAAACGTTTCAAATGATGAAATCCTCTCATCGGAGATTTTAAAAACCAAAATAGTTTTACAATGAAGGAAGGGTCATTCAGTAAGATCCACGGTCAGGGCGGGATTGAGACGATAAAAGAGCCTAGGCTGCGCCGTTCGTTAGGCTCCTCTTAAATAATACAAATATAATATGACATCATGAATAAATTAGTAGATTAAGTAGATTAGATAAGTGGTCGTCAACCTCTTTTAAGTGACGGACCGGTAAAACCTGACCAAAATTTTGGCGGACCACCTTCATACAAACGAACTAAGCTTACGTAGAAAATTGTACGCGTTAGAAATTTTATGTTGAAACTATCTCCAAAAACAGGGGTACCGGTGATGGTATTTAATGCGAGATCTGTATTTGTTTGCCCATTAACTTTTCCCAATTGGAGATATGGTCGACAGTGAAACATGTAACGGGTTTCTTACGTCCACCCTACTTTGGTATTTCGTTTTTGTAGATGTAATTGTAAATATATATCGAAAACCCGACACACACGATAAGGTAACACTGTCTGTGAAGCTTCTCTTGCAATGTCTGAATGGTTATCTAAGAGTATCGACTAAAAGACTGCCAAGATATATATCGCAAATACGCTTTTCAACTCATTATCATTTGAAATTTTAATCGCGGGGATTCGTTGTTGTTAGATTTTATAGATGTTTTTGGGACGTTGTCCGTTTTTATGTAATCTTTCTGCGGACCGGTAGTAATCTTTCCGCGGACCGGCGATGGGCTGCGGCCCGGTTGTTGCCGACCACTGGATTAGATAGTTGATTAAAAAATTCTGACCGCAACAAAATGCCATGGAACCGGAGTACCGTTTTTCAAATTGATACAAATTGAAGATTTCACTGTTTTTAATTTTAAAAACGGTAAATATTTGGGACGAGAATTCACTTGAATAATATAAGCATTATAAAATGTTAAACCGGTTTTATTCTAGAACAATCTTTTACAATTTAAAAACGACTTAAAAATAAATAACAGTTCAAAGTTGAATGCAGAGGCACCCAAGATGTGATGCCCCCAGGCTTCAGCCTACTTTCCCCAGTAAACCCAACCTTGTTGACGGTACAGCAAAGCATCCAATACGTGACACAATAAACGAGGTATTCGAGAAAAAATCTATCATATAAAAAATCATTATTTGATATTCAAATGTCGATTTAACCTTCATCGAGAAACCGAGGTTCGACATATTATTACATCGTCATAGTGGCCTCCCCTACGCCGGAATAAATAAATATTTCTTTTGATACAAATATGACAGCTGTGACGCGAGAAAACAGATTTGAAATATGTCAAAAGAACTGTTTCAATTCACGGTCACGTTACATTTCTGGATTATATACTAGGAAGAGTACGAAGCGTTGAAGCTGTATAAATATCAATGGCCTGATTTTGGGGATTCTTTATATCAAGACTGTGCAACCTCGGACCCGCAGGCCAAATGCGGCCCACAAGGAAAAATTGTGCTGCTCGCGTAGAAGTGCTAATTTTGAATTTGAATGTTCACTGTGCAGCCCAAGAAACGAATTTTAATTTAACGGTTTTTAAATTTAGTACGTGGGTGTAATTCCAATCCCTTTGCTTTGCAAATGGTATTCCTGAGTCCAATCAATTTATTATCTATGTCTATAATATCCAGCTTGTTCAAAGCAAACAGCCCGGTGCGGCCCGCGGTTTCACCCTGTTATTTGTATTTTGCCCTCCTGTATGAAAGGTTGCACACCCCTGCTTTATATAATATCTAAAGAACTAACCCTCTGTACAAATCACCAAATTTCATAGTTTAAAATCGCCGGGGAGATTCTTAAATATTTATTTTATTTTTTTGCTTTAGTGAAACCAGCAATTAATAATAGCCTGTTAAAAAAACAGCGCTAACTTTATGAAATTTTGGCACAAAATTTTTATTTATGCCCAAATATGCACTGTGCCGCTTCATTTAGAGCAGCTCAATTATCCTGCCTGATTTACTGATGCAAAACTACTACGTAAAGTAAGGATTACCTCGCCAGCGGCGTAGCAAATATCTAAAGAAAATTAATTATAGTATAGTGCGCCCCCAAAAAGCAAAACACAGGCAAACAAGCAAACCCAACAAAGCATGCACGGTTATACTGACCTTTAATCAATAAACAAGCCTCCATCAAAAGTATTAGTCTGAAGAAACTATGTCGAATCGGAAACTTCATTTCGAATCCAAGAATTTCGTCAACTTTTCTTCAATGAAACTCGATTCCCGAACAACGTAGGTTAGAATGAAGCTTCGGCCTATTCGCATCGGAATTTATCCTATGCAAGCTCACTCACTACTCGGAAAAGAGTAGTCAATGTTATTTAAACTTCCTGTGCAATTCCAGCTATCGTTGAACTAAATTTCCGTTGTATTGTTCATGAGTAACACCATGATTTCGAAGTGTCGCATTCCCGAAATACATTAGTGATTATATGAGATCATTATCGTTTAAAAAAATCGCGGAGGTTCACGTCAATCATTCACTTTCTTTCCGAACAGCGCAACGCGAATTTAACACTAAATATATCAGTAAGATATTTTGTTTATAATTTTAATCAAAGCCCTTGTTATATTTTCAAAAACTGGCATATCCCAGGTAAAATGCATTGTAATATCGCGATTCTTGAACATGAAACAGGTTAGATTTTTCTCCTTCGAAAATATGCAAGGTTTACGCTATATCACGTGATTTGTAACTCAAAGAGTCGGAATCGCAGACTTCCAATGACGATAAAATGAATAATTTTTTCTCCTCGGAATTGCCTCCCCAATTTATCACACTCTGGGTTAGGAAGTGGGTATGGAATTTGAACCCGACATGTGAAACAACGCTCCAACCACTCGGCCATCGCGCTATCAAGGAGACATTAGCATTGCTGTGTAGTTTACCTGTAGTTACAGACACTCAACGTTACACCCCCCATTTAAATAAATATTTACCATAAGCCGATAAATTGCCGCATAATTTTGGTGCTATGAATTTAGATTTGTGTGCGAATTATCGTGTCAATTTTATCCCAATTCACACTTTCCACCACCTAAAAAGATTATAAGCGACCTTTCATAGCAGTGGTAAATAAAAGGGGGAATTGAAAGTCAAAATACTATAAAAACCTATCATAATTAGAATTCAATTTTGCCGCAAATATGACCCATCACTCGCCGGGGTGTTTGAAATTTTAAGGGGGTGTTCACCCTATATGGGAGATGTGCGGGAAAATCACTGCGCTCAATCAGACATTGAACAGCTATAGTTGCCAATAAATATAGGCAGCCGTCACATGATATGAAAACAATGAAGTAAGTTGTCATTTCTTTTTCCAAGAAATGAGCAAAATAATTGGAGTACCGAATGACGTTGCAGTATTTCTGACATACCAAGAATATCCAAAAATATAGAAAAAAAATCGTGTAAGAATGAACGGAAATGTTGCCTAATCACTCATATTTCTAGCTTCCGTGTGTGTGATCATTGCCTGATTCATTATTGAGTAATTACCATGAACGCTATTAAACTTTATTCCAACTTTTAGAATCCACGCTTTCAACGCATGATAGCTGTCAACAAAAAATTTACCAGTTGTCTTTGACACAGCTATTTCCGGGTTATTGACGTCGGAACCCTGTTTTAGAAGGCGCAATGTCCTATCGGTTAAAGCGTTCGGCTCAATATATATTATACTAAGCTTGTTCGGGTCTTTCGCTCCGATTAAGGCCCTGTGCTAGCAGCCATTGAAATCTAACAATATTTAAAGAACTATTGTCATTTGGAAGGACCGGGATTATCCAAGGTTGACATTGCCCACCCAAGCACTACGCTATCGCACCGCCCATCAGCGGTCGCTTGTAATTGTTCGGAGCGACAAAAGTTCTTCGGGGGCCGCATGTGGCCCGCGAGTCACAGCTTGCCCACTCTGTTCTATTGTATGAACGTACAAAATACCACTCAGCAGAAGAATCAAGACGAGCGTAATAATACTGGAAATATATCCCGAGCTTGATTTATCAAAACAGGCATTGTGGAGAATCTGAAAAAACATGTGACCTTATTTTCTCAAATTATTTTGTGTAAAATATACGACGCGATGCACAAATGATGTGATGACATCACAGGGGGGCGATATGAAAAGAGCCTGATGGATCTCTAATGATTGATTTAAAGCCATTCCAAGTTTTTTTTGGAACGTTGCAGACGAAAGTTGCTGGCGAAATTGTTGTCAGAAAGGACAATTATCATTTGGGTTACTTTTAACATTTATCACGTGGGAGTAGAATGCCAATGAGACAGTTCATCATATAGTGAATCCCCTCAGTGGCCTCATTACCCGTTCATGTTGGATTCAGAAATAGTTGAGCAGTTATTTGTTTCAGATACACAGACTAGATGGTGAGGAAGCCGTAATCGAAAAGCGGTTACGTGATAGTGAGGGGTTCAGCAATCCTCTCGCACATGATCATCCCTTATTGGAACCACCAAACACCTCGGAGTTTGGAAAGTGCGATTACAAGATACTCAAACTTAGCACGAAGCACCAACCACCGAACACCTTGAAGCTTGGAGAATTATCCACGATTAAACAGCGCTATGTGAACTTTTGAACTCTTCATAACGGAGAAAGTGTCATAGTTTCCTTCCCATATTCAGTAAAATATATGTTTGAATTGGTCAACTTTCTTTTCAAGTTATGTTTACAAAATAACTGCAGATTGATTGATTACTGAATTTTACCAAATTTGAGATACATGCGGGTAATTATTGGATTTTCTAACATATAGGCAGCATTTTTCGTAATACTGTTTAGGCAGGTTGCAAAAAACCACCCGGCTAGGATTATTTTGTTTGGCCATAACATGAATATTTAGTTATCAGGCATAGTTGACCTAGGCTGATAGATTCCTCATTCGATTTTAAGTTTTCTATAATGCCAATATTGTTAGCATATATTCCCGATCAAAACGATAGAAAGCCAGTTAACAATTTAAACTCGCCAGACACATTATTCAACTTCGTCAGTTGACTCAGCTGACAATAACACTAGTCAATTTGGCGACACAAGTGATGTAACAATATGTAAAAAGATTTTTATTGGTCATTTTTATGACAAAACAACACCAATTGCGATTTTTTGTTTACCTAGCCGCAAATGCGACGCGGGCCACAGACAATGAAGCGGCGAGCCACATGTAGCCCGCCTGCCTGGGTTTGGACCACCCTGAACTAAAGTGTATACATGGCTAAGTGCTAAGGTTATTTATATTTTTGAAAACTTTTCTCGCATTTAGCTGTTTATGATCGAAAAAAGATGTAATGATTATGACTAAATAGACAACAGTGCGATACAGTTTAGCACGAAATAATTAATTTATTGGTAATTTTTGAAAATTTGAAATGTGAGTGAGGTAAAGTTTTTTGCGTCGACGTTTGTGTTGCACAAATGCATATTATTTGAAATATGTATCCATTATTTTATCAACAAACGCTAAGTGTTTGATGTTGTTTACAGCAAACTGCATTTCGTGCAAGATTTATTGACTTTGAATTTTTTGCAATTAAAAATTCCGAAACCTTTACAAAAAATAAAAGTGTAGTGCTTCTCATAATAAGAAAACGGAGACGCAACGTTCTCAATTCTAGAATAAATATCAGATTATGAAAGAGGTAATTGCGTTTGTAAACCTGAGATATCAAAAATTAATTCGAAATGATACATTTAAAATGAGGCAAGAGAACTTGGTCTTTTTCGATCAACAGGTTCATAGCTCCTACTTTTAACTCGATACAGCGCTTTATTTTCATTGTTTTGTGAAAAACCTTATTAATTTTTTATTATTCGAAGACATAAAAGATATGGATGTTTGAATTTATCTCCAACATTGACCTGTACAACTTCTACCAGCACTACGAGTTTATGTAAACTTGAAAATATGGCAGAAACGGCTTCTTCCCATGCATCCTTAGTACAAGACCAGGAAAAATTGGCCCTGTTGGTAAGAAACGGAATCTGAATAAGTTAGAATGATATATCAAAATATAGAAGAAATCGTTAGTGTGAATTAACTGGCATAGCTAATTTGGCAAAACATTGGTAAATTCCAATTTTGAAAATACATGTATATATAATACATTTTGAAATGAACATAATACATTTCGACTGGGTTTTCCACATTGCGATTTTTTTAAAATCATATTCTGCTCGCTCGAATGGAATGAAAAACGAATTGCGGTATTTTTTACATGCATCTTAATTTTGTATATGACTTCCAGTAGAATATTATGCAATCTTAATACTACTGCCGGAGACAAAGTTAGACAAAAATCGTTCCACAATGCCAAATAACTTTCATCATATAATGTTTAAAAACTCGACCTGTATGCAGTAGTTGCACAAAAGTTTTGGTTATTGATCTTGTGACATGCGTTGTTTGCAGAAGCTAGCTGTTAAGGAATTGTAAAGTCATAGACATGGATGATAAATTAGACGCGGGCGTAGGATTCGCAACGCAAAGAGATGAAAAATGACTCGCACATACTAAATTAATTCAAAAACTCGTATCGCGGGACGCACATCATCCAAACTGGCACTTGTCAGCGGGTCGCACAATTTTTCCTTGAGGGCCGCATTTGGCCCGAGGCACACTCCTGCAGTAGATAATCGGAAATATATAGATCACAGAATTCATTGCAACACTGGCACTAGGTCAAAAATTTTCAGTATCCAAGCTGCCTATTCGTCGCAGTAGTAGGTAAAAATGTTCAAAAAAAAAACACTCGTGGCAGCATTATATCACTCAAACCATATATTTGGGGATATGGTATACGCATGTCCAAGACAACAATTTGCGAACTAGATACAATTACTGTTTTGATTATTTTCGTCATGCAATTGTTATGTGCAATTCACTGTTCAAAATAACTTTTAACTTATATGCGAATTTAATATTTATGTTTCACGCATCAGAAGAAAGAGAACCAGCTTGAATATATGTCAGCGATTGTGTGCCGCTATCTTTCCTATAAGCCATAATCATATCATTTCATAAAAATGCTGTTTTCAGCTCATATGAGAAGAACATGGGTGTCCTGAAATCATAAGATATAAACTTTGAACCTCTTAAATCTTTACGATAGCTGATCCAACTTTACAAACAATTCTGGAGTATGATATCGGAACATGCATCCACACAAATACCAAATCATGCGTTCTTTTTTGACGGCTATTGACAGCAATGTACATGCAGAAATGCTGATATTACAGGAGGTATTTGACTCCTCCTCCGGGTGACGTATATGTCCTCAATTTTAAGACTTCAATATTTATTAGTTAGAATAGTCACCATGTTTGTAATTAATTTACCAATTCGAACCGATATAGATATGAAATTACCTAATTCATATGCCCAACAGCTAGAATCTCACGGCTTCAGAGTTAATTTGAAGCAACTTTTATGATAAAACCCTGAACAATCTTAGATGTTTTCTCTAGCAATTATATTTCACCACAGCCCACTTGAGTGAGTGTATTCTAACAGCGTGACTCCGATTGAGAGATGACTCATGGTTTCAGTTCAAGTTTTTCAATGATGCCAATATTTAAATGAAAAAAGAAGTACACAAGTAAAAAGTAAATATACAAATACATTTTAAACGTCTAAAAAGATATTAAGTTTGAAAAGTTTCCTAATTTTATACCCTTTGAGTGCCAAGCTTAGTTGATGCAACTGCTCCATAAAACAGAAGTTTTATCAAGTCAGAAAGTTTATTACTTCAATATATTGCTATCACCAAATTCAGCCAGATATAAGGCGTTAAACCTTAAAGATGATTTCTAGTACGAGTCATATTGGAAAAGGTATAATGTGAACTGTTTACTGATGTTAGAAACTTCATCTGATTTTGATCAATATTAGCAAACTTCTTGCTAATTTGGCTTAATCCTCATTTCGACAAATTTGAGAGAATAATTATCCCCACCCCAAAGTTGCCAAGATACCCCATTGCCTCCAGGCCCTGACGAACTTTTGTAATATTTTCCATTCAAATTTGCTTTATAACAACTGTTATACCACCATGCTCCGTGAAAATGTTCAGCGCAGTGAGTACTGCTATGTGCATCATTATCTCTATCATGGGTACTGAATGGTTTAGCGTTGTTATAATTCATCCCATCCTTTGCATTTCCGGAGTATCCCGATACAGTGAGACGATAATTTGAATCTTCGTCTCCAATTCGGAAGGTACTGAACATATTAAAAATATAAAAAAATAAATTGTGCAAAAAATGTTTATGTTTGCCAATCAGGTCATCATTATAAATAATATCGTCACGCTAATAACAAAATTGCGTAAGTCATTTTTATCGGTTTTGAGAAAAATATAAAAAAAAATTCCGGAAGATATTGTTATACCATTAAGAGTAAATAATTTCCCATAGTTCATTTTTGCCACAGTCGGATCTAAATTCATTTATATGACGCCGGCCCGTAACGTCATAGGACATACGCAATTTTGCAACTTGAATATATTCATCAGTTCTGACAACCAAACATTCGGAAAACTTACGTAATTTAAAATATCTATACGATCTTCAATACCAAAACAGTTTCTTTGTTTTAATAACATAGTTTTTATTTCCCGAAATATATACTTTATCAATATGACGCGCTTTGCACATCCACCGAAAATAAGACCTATACTATATTTGAATACCTATATATTGAAGCATACATCAAAAATCAAGAGTCACGATATCGGAAGTGAGTGAATAATAAATATGATTTGCGCGCATGTTCAGAAGTGAAAAATAATATTCTTAAGATAAAATAACACGAGACCTGTAAGCTGCATATCTTCTTTCGCCTTCCCAGTTTAAAAGATCAATTCGTAAACTATAGCTTTTTCTTGAAGTCATTTTGTGGAGCTTATCTAGACCTGAAAAAAATTATGAAATTCAAAAATAGAACAAAAAACTACAGATAAAATACAAGCATACAAATATTTCTTTCATGCACTAACTTATTTTCTGTGATTTTTATTATGATATTTTAGGCATAAATTTTTTACAAATTAAGCTTTTTACCCAGCCACAACTCTCCATCAGGATTTCCGAAGCCATTTTTGTAATCCTCCCATCCTCTGTAAAAATCGAAACTCCCATCCATTCTACGTTGGATAACCTTTGAGAAAATATGAAAAGTTTATTTAAAAAAATAATCACAAAAATTGTCATGTCATCAAAAATAAGTTAAAATAACTAATTATCATTTGTAACAGCTGTTTTCGTATATCAGGTCTAATTCAAGGTCACATGCTCAGTTTCTTTTGTTGTTTTCCGGAATAGAGTAGAACTAGATTCACGGGTCTCTTCCATCATAAATGGCGCGTCCTAACTAGGAGGTATTAATAATTTATGTTCACTTGAAGAAACATCAACATTTTTCAGTAAACTCGTACGGACTTCGTTTAACGAGTTTGTTTTACTTTGGGAAGAACAAGTAATGAACATAAACTACAGCTCTATATTAATATTCGAGTGAGAAGCTAAGCACAAGAGTAATGCGGCGCCGTGCTACTGACAATCTTGAAGAATTATGAAATGGACTGTTTTTTACAATGCTGTCAATACGATTAAGTCGATATCAAAAAGTTACACAAACGTGCGTCAAACGAGTTTTCTAGTTTGAAGGAGCATGTTCAAACAATTAGCAAATAATTCAATATTCTTACTGTCCATGCGTTCGATTCATCAAAAATGCAATTAACACTTGCAATCTCTCCATCTAACATAGTAATAATTGTTTCTTTTCCTGCAGTAACTCTTCGTCCAAGTTGAATTAACTTCTCTCTATATTCCGAACAATTCGCAGCTTTGTATAGTACGCTTTCTGTATATTTTGGTAATATTTGAAAAGCACAATATTATAAAATAAATTTTATAGTATTAATTGCATATTTACCAAAAATATACATATTTGCTACGTATTAATATTTACTTTTGGGAACGGAAGTATTGGACTAAATAACTGAAGCCATAAAGTGATTTGAACAATTTTATCAATTTTGAGCAAAAAAAGCTTTTTCGTCCTTTAAGATGAAACATAAAATCGCGAGTAAACAGAAAAACTGTAAATGAGAGTTTTGATGAACTTGTTTTCAAATGTTTGGAAAACTCAGTTTGAAAACCTTGTTAAATCATTACCACTTATAGTTCACAATAAAAACATAATATGCTTGTCGAAACACGATACGTACGTTGCAACTGGCGATTATTTCTTTTCAATTCATCAAATTGCAGTTGGAATTGGCGATAATTTCCGTTCAATTCATCAAATTGCAGTTGTACTTTTGACAGTTCAGATCTCAAATGCGTCACTTCCTCTTCATCGACGATATTGCATTGACAGGGATCTCCCTTTCGACCTCGTTGACCTGTCATTTTTTTTTGGATATTTACGTTTCATCCACGTAAACATATTGGATAAAACGTACTTTCTCCTTACTGTTATTCGAAGCTTATTGTTAGCTAGTTACTTTTAAGTAAGATGGGGCGCGAGACTTGACAAATTCAAAAAAGGGGCGCGGTTTACAAAGTTCATGAACCACTGTAGTGGAGTATTCGGCAGCTATCGTAAAGTTTTAAGAGATTCAAAGTTTTCAATCCAAGGTATCTCAGAACACCCATTGTCTTCTCATATATGTCAAAAATTTGGGATTTTTATAAAATGATATGAAAATGACTTATAGCAAAGATAGTGGCACACTTTGTTAATCGCTAACATGTACTCGCTGGTTCTCTTTCTTCGTGCATAAATATGATGCATTAAAATCAAATTTGTATGTAAGTTGAGAGTTATTTTAAATAAGGCATGTCCAACCTTTTCAGTGCCGCGGGTCACTTTCACACGAGGAAAATCATTCCGGGCCGCAAACCTAAATACATATATATATACATACCAGTTTTTACGTTAGAATTTGCGCGTCGCTGAAGCAAACGCTTTGATTGCACAAAGCTACTGTGAATATCTGAACACAATACGCACGCATTTTTACGCAGTGACTTTATTTCATAAGTTTTATTTAACGCAAAAAAGCCAGTAGCAAAGATATTGTACGGTACACTTTTTTATTTTACGATGGCGATGAGGATGATCGAAGCCTACACGAAAGATAATATCTGGGTTGCAAATTTATTCCTATAATTTTCCTCGACCAATGATAGCACAATAGCTTTCGATTTTGTTGAGCAAAACGCGCGGTCCTTCGAGAAATAAAAAACATCGATGTCGACCAGATACATGTGATGACGCTAGTTTGAACGATGATGTATAATTATTTTAATAATAATTTACTTATTTTTGTTTCTGGAGGTGTTAAATTTGTGGGGGACGTCGGGTTATGTTTGGTTTATTCAATTTCGAAAACTACTGAGCGGGCCACTCGGAACTTTCCTGCCGGCCACTTGTGGCCCACGGGCTACGGATTGGGCGACCCTGTTTTAAACAGTAAATTGCACATAACAATCGCATAACAAAAATAATCAAAAAGAATTATATCTAGTTCGCAAATTTTTTTTCTCCGTCATGCCTATACCGTCTCACCGAATATATCGTTTGAGTTATATAATGCTGCCACGAGTGTTTTTTCTGAACAATATTTTTACTTACTACGGCGTATATGGAGCTTGCCATGGATACTGAAATTTTTTGTGTGCAAGGGTGTGAAAAGGGTGTGCAACTTGCGGGCCGCGGGCCAAATGCGGCACTCAAAGAAAATTTGTGCAGAGAAGTGCCAGTTTTGAAATGATGTGCGTTCCGCGAAACGAGTTTATGAATTAATTCAGTACGTGCAAGTAATTTCAATCCCTTTGCGTTGCGAAGTCTATGACCAATTTTCCCCGTCTTCCTTGTTGTACTCTTGTACTCGGGATCCTTTGCGAAGAAGCCGTAGCTGTACAGGTGAATGTTGGAGATAAATTCACACCTTTGACGTCTTGCAACAATACCAATGATGCAACCAAGCTGAATATAAACGTGTATAAAACCAGCATATTCATTTTATAGATTATCTGCAAGTAATAAAATAATTATCTAGTTTTTAACAAAATTTAATGATCTAGAAATAACGAAATACGGCCTTTACAAATTAGTCCATCCTCGCCGATATATAATTCAAAGCTTTCATAAAAAACACAGCCTTTCTGTCAAAGCTAAACTACGCATTGTTCAAATCAAATGATCCGTTTTAAAGCTGAACTTCCATTTAAATATGCGTATCAATTTTCAACTAATTTCTTTATAAAATGTTTCAAGAATTTAAAAAAAAAAAAATAGTATAGAATCAACTGTTTCTCTTAAGTATAATATACTACATCCATATCTTCTATGTTTCAAAAAATCCATAGTTTGAATTAAAGTATATCAATTTTTCGAAACGTAAATTTTAATGCATCAATTCCAAATTTATTTCCGATTTCACATTATTACAAAAGAAAAGTGTTGCTTGTATGATCTGCCATTTATCCTAGAATCGGAAACGTTGCGTCTCTGTTTTCTTATTACAGGAAGCACTCCACTTTTATTTTTGAAAATATGTTGTAGCATTGTTTGCAAAAATACTAAAGTTTCACTAATTATAATTTATTATGTCTATTACGTTACAAGGTTATAATAGACGCATAAATTTTAAAACAAATGTATAACCTTCTGAAAACACTAAATTATCCGCCCATTAAAAAAAAAAAAAACTGATATATTTTTCCAAAAACAGAACTTCAACTTCTACTGACGTCATTTCACATCTCAAAAAACATATTTATTCTAAGAAAATGCAATGCTCCATCAATCAGAAAAACTTACGAAAAATCCCACATGCAAGATTTCAAACCCACTGCAAATGTTTTTGTGGTAACAGGAAGAACTCTTTTGACGAAAGACTTTTATTTTTAATATTTGTAAAATTGACTCATAAAAATAAATTCGAAACTATGGTTTATACCTGTTTACAATACGCAAGAAAAAACATATAAATTGCCGATATCTATGTTTCATGTCACAAACAGTCAAACGAATAATTTGCTCACATTACCACATATATACTCTCACTGCACACATAACAATGCTAAAATGTTCGTACCTTCAAAATGGTTTTAGATATTTTCATTTCTGTTACTCACACCGTCATATGATACGTGTATTCACAAGGACGTAACGATAGTGATATAAAACAAAACTATTCTGACGTCATTGCGAACATTTCACAAAAATTCAGAACCGAAGCGCCTTTCTTTGGCTCATTGATACCTTCCAGTCGTTACATGGGTTCTAATCCTTATTTAATGTTGCTTGCATCATTGTATTAAACTTCTCATACTTTGCTTTCTCGTGCTTATTACTTTTAGTTATGTTTAGCTTCTGAGAGAGCATGTAATGACGTGAAACTTCCATATAATCCAATTTTTACCGTTATATAAATAGCTTCAGCAGAAAAAAAACACGATAAAAATGTACTTTATTAAGAAGTCTTGAAACCAAACACAAAATCGCTACCAATTATTTGTATCAGACTGAGATTCTACCAGACTGACAAGAATTACCTTTTTCTCATACTATTGTATTTCATTTTAACAGTAGTACAGACAAGACCTATTATGGCGTCCCAGAAGTGTGTGTACCAATACGGAGGTAACTAATTTTGTTCGCCTACATTACATCAAGTTGTGTAAAGGGACTGAAACCTATTGGTAGGGTATAAACAATTGGATAACCCACAGACAGTCCCCGAACTGGTAAGAGAACCAAAATAAGGAAAATAGGAATAAAATTAAGGCCCAACCCTAACCTGGTACACACACTATGAAAGTTTTTTATTAATGAATCTGATATTCATCCAAAAGCTAACTTCAGTTTTTACTAACGTCAATTCACATCTCAAATAACATGTTTACTCAAAAAAATGCAAAGCTCTATCAATCAAAAGATTTTACGAAAAAATTCCCGTACGCAATATTGCGAACCCACAGCGAATGTTTTTGTGGTAACGGGGAAAACTCTTTTGACGAACAGATTTCATTTTTAATAGCTGTAAAATTGACTCATAAAAATAAATCTATGGTTTATACCTGTTTACAATAAGCATGAAAAAGCATCCAAATTGTCGATATCTATGCTCCATGTCTCAAACAGTCAAACGATTAATTTGCTTACATTACCACATACATGCTCTTATTTGAGCCTTAGTGACATTAAACTGCAACACATAACAACGCTAAAATGTTCGTACTTCCAAATGGTTTCAGATATTTTTGTTTCTGTTACTCAAACCGTCATAAGTTACGTGTATTCACAAAGTCGTAACGATAGTGATAGAAATTTTCGACTCACTTATCACATATTGTCAAGTTATTGAAGAAATTAAGAAAAGCAGAATTTCCTTCTAATGCCAAAGCAATTGAAATGAAAAATCGGATCAAATAAATGGATATTCCTTTCTCGGCCGCCTCTTTACAAATATCTATTATCATCTCGAACGGCGGAACTTTATCTTATGCTGACGACGACAAAAACACTCGCCAAATGGCACAAACAAAATCTTTTGTTACGTTTTGGCTGCGGCATTTTAGGAAATATCAACATACATAATAGTTGACTTTATAATATGTCTCGTTTTTTTCTCCGAAGCGCGATATTTTAGTAATAGTTATCTGCAAAATGTCACACACCGATAATTAAGCTCAAGTTCACACAGAACAATTTTTCGGTCGTGAGAAAAAGAAAATATTGCCAGTTTAAAATTGACCGCATTTTATTAGTTACATATTTATATAACTAAGTGGAACTCAACATGATCAAATATTGCTGTTTTAGCATTGCTTGCAAAAATATTAAAGTTCAACTAACGATGATTGATCATTTAACGCTGCAAGATTATAATAAACCATAAATCTCATAACAAACTTATAACCTTCCAAAAACATTAAATTATCCGCCCACTAAAATGTTTTAGAACGAATCTGATATTACCTCGAAAGCGGATCGTAACTTCTACTAACGTCAATTCAAATCTCAAAAAACTGGTTTACTCCAAAAAATGCAAAGCTCCATCGATCAAAAGATTTCACAAAAAATATAGCACGCAATATTCTGAACCCACAGCGAATGTTTTTGTGCTAACGGGCAAAACTATTTTGACCATATGGTTTATTTTTTATTATTTTAAATATTACTTCATGGAATAAATCCAAAATTCTGGTTTATAGCTGTTTACAATGTGCGAGAAAAATTATCCAAATTGCCGATATCTATATACCTCGTCGCAAACAACCATACGATTGAATCGCTAATATCACCACATACATGCGCTCATTTGAGCCTTAGTGAAACTTAACTGCAACACATAACAATGCTAAAATGTTCGTACTTCCAAAATGGTTTCAGATATTTTTTTTGTTACTCACCACAAGGACGTAACGTAAGTGATAGAAAACAAAACTATTCTGACGTTATTGCGAACATTTCACAAAAATACAGAACCGACGCGCGTTTTGTTTGGTTTATTGAAACCTTTCAGTCGCTACATGAGTTCTAAGTCTTATTAAATAGATTCCAACCGAATCTATTTATCGAATGAAAAAATATAGCTTGACTGTGTTTTGAAGTGACACAGTAAACTTTGAAGCAATTTAACTTTGAAATGACAGCGTAGCGACTTTGTTCGATTCTTGTCGAAGAATTTAAATCTTTAAATTTCTATGATTTCAAATCACATAGTCAGCTTGATTTTATTTAGCAAAGTTTTTAAATACTTAACCTCGTGCTTATAAAGTTTTTCGATAGCCATTAATTAGTAAATAATTTTTAATCTAGATTATCCCATATTGGTTAGCATTTTATCAAGAGTGTAAGGATACATTTTTAAAAGTGTTTGATGAATATTAATTAAACGATGCAACTGCTGACATTTCATAATATTTTCCAAGTGTGGTTTATTCGTATCAACGTGTGGTAGGATAATACAATGTAAGCCATTTTTATAAAATCTAAATGATAAGTACACGTTAATATTTCTATGTGTCATTTTCACTTTTGTAATCTTGACGAGCTTTATAACATTTTACTGTATTAATATTTAAAAATAGCATAGGCTAACTCGACGTCAGTGATCAAAAACAAACAAGAAGAAAATATGAATTTTGAAATCGAGCAGGGTTCATTTCAAGAAATCAAAACTAGATGGGAGCAAAAAAGATAGAATAATTCATACGACAATAAATCGCCGTCTGCAAATAAATACAAAACGAAAGAGGTTATGGTATCATGGAATCACACGCAATGCAGTTCTTCATTTTTAACTCAAGAACAGATATGAATATGACTTTTAAATCCCCCCCGTTCTGATAAATATGCTGACAAAAGTGAACTCTAAAACGGGCTACGGACAGACAAACCTTTCGCTTGAAAATTGCCCCACAACCCGAAAGGTTTACGTCACACTTTACAAATGCACGTGAATGAAGAACGATGTAGTCGCATAATCTAACCGCTAGTGGGTGCTAATGAGAATGCTTTAATAGCTTTTAATTTACATAACGCAGTTTGACGCTAGTTGGTGAACGTATGTTGGTGAGTACATCATGATTTCACTAGACTTCGATTATTTCTTACAGATTGGTAAATATGACTTCTAATGTGCTTGGAACGATTAAAGTCAATTTCAAGTTTGATTTCAAATTTATCACGATACTATTCACTGTGGGGACTAGGCCCATAATCTGGCCAATAGTCTAATGCTGAATAAATTCTTGTCGAATGTTATCGAAGAATTGTTGGTTCCCCCTGTGTTATGGAAACCTGATTTGCTTGCGGTAATTATTTGTAAAAAAGCAGACTTGCACAAAAATGAAAAAAAAATAGAATGGTTTAATATTTCAGTATGTTGGTCACTCAGAAATCCAAAGTAAAAAGAAATTAATCCTGTAAAATTGCTATTTCCAAACTTTTTATTCCAACCTTACTAGACATAAAGTCCTAGTTTTCGTCATTCGTTCATTCTCTAGCCAATTTAAAAGTAAACTTGCAGTCTGGTTTTTGTACCGATAGTAACAAAATTCGGACCTCCAAAAGTATGTGCATCAAGATGGCGCACAACCTGACCATAGTATGTGTACACGGTTGGGGTTCAGGTTGTGCGCCATCTTGGTGCACATACTTCGAGAGCGCCCAAAATTCATCACTGGGACGCTGATTTTTAACTCGACCGTGGTACAAAAATGATAACCAACAAAAAAAAACAGACGGTACGGAAATTCAGGAAAGTTGCCAAAACTTCAAATAGGGTTTAAACATGGAACATAAAAGTACTACATGAACAATTTCATCTCGTAGAAGAATATTAGTGAGAAAACACGATTATTTATTCTCTGATCAGGCTTTAAGTATGCAGAGATTGTAATAATTCATATGTTCCTATAGTTTGTCCTACTGTCATCAATGAATTTAACACTACATAAATTTCAATATTCAAAAAGCAAAGTGTACAGGAGACGATGATTTTCAATTCGGCGTTGCTATATTCTCTGGGTTTTCAACCCCGAGACTCAACCCGTTTCTATGTTTCTCTCTATTCTCTATTTTGGGGACTACGTTTTAGTATTGCTTGCAGTTTTAGAGTTAATTTGAAGCAACTTTCATGATGAAACCCTGAACAATTTTGGATGTTTTCCCTAACAATTCTTTTTCGTCACAGCTCCCTTGAGTGAGTGTATCTCGACAGCGTGACTTCCCACTGAGAAATAAATCACTGTTCGCAGTTTAAAACTTTTAATGATACCAATAGACAAATGAAAATGAAATACACGAATAAAAAGTAAATATACAAAGGTATATACAATTATTGGTACTCCCGTAGTATGTGAACCAAGCTCGCGGACACCGGAACGTAGTATGTGTACCAGGTTGAGGTTAGGTCATATATTTTATTTCAATTTTCTTTATTTCAGTTCTATTACGAGTTCGGGGACTAACCAAATGACTCTCGTAGTATTTGTACCTTAAATTATGGTCTAATCCTACCTTGCTACACATATTACGTTCCGGTGTCCGCCATCTTGGTCCACATACTACAGGAGTACTCAATAATATTTCAAATGTATAAAGATTCTGAGTTTAAAAATTTCCGAATTTGTAAATTTTATATTCTTTGAGTGTCAAGCTCAGTTGGACAACTGCTCCACAAAACAGATGTTTCACCATGTTAAAAAGTTTATTTCTAAAATGTATTGCTATCACCAAATTCAGTCAGTTATAAGGCGTTGAAACTTAAAAAGATGATTTTTTAGTACGAGTCATAATAGAAAAGGTATAGAGTTAACTATTTACTAATGTTAGGAATTTATCTGATTTTGGTCAATAAGAACAAACTGCTTGCTAATTTGGCTTAATCTTCATTTCGACAAATTTGAGGGAATAAGCATCCCCACCCCAAGGTGACCAAGATACCCCATTGACTCCAGGCCCTGACGAACTTTTGTAATATTTTCCATTCAGATTTGCATGATAACAACTGTTATACCACCATGCTCCGTGATATGATACAGCGCAGTTACTGTCGCGTTCATCATTATCTCTATCAAGGGTAGTGAATGGATTAGCGTTGTGATAATTCATCCCATCCTTTGCATTTCCGGAGTATCCCGATACAGTGAGACGATAATTTAAATCTTCGTCTCCAATTCGGAAGGTACTGAACATATTAAAAATATAAAATAATTAATTGTGCAAAAAATGTTTATGTTTGCCAATCAGGTCATCAATTTAAATAATATCGTCACGCTAATAACAAAATTGCGTAAGTCATTTTTATCGGGTTTGAGAAAAATATAAAAAAAAATTCCTGAAGATATTGTTATGCCATTAGGAGTAAATATTTTCCCAGAGTTCATTTTAGCCACAGTCGGATCTAAATTCAGTTTCTTTGTTTTAATACCATAATTTTTATTTCCCGAAATATAGACTTTATCAATATGACGCGCTTTGCACATCCACCGAAAATAGGACTTATACTATATCTGAATACCTATATATTGAAGCATACACCAAAAATGAAGAGTCACGATATCGGAAGTGAGTGAATATTAAATATGCTTTGCGCACATGTTCAGAATTGAAAAATAATATTCTTGAGATAAAATAACATGAGACCTGTAAGCTGCATATCTTCTTTCGCCTTCCCAGTTTAAAAGATCAATTCGTAAACTATAGCTTTTTCTTGAAGTCATTTTGTGGAGCTTATCTAGACCTGATAAAAAAAAATACCAAATTTAAAAAATACAATAAAAAACAATAGTTAAAATTCAAGCATACAAATATTTTTTTCATACAAAAACTCGTTTTATGCCAATTTTATTATGATATTCCAGGCATAAAATGTTTACAAAATAAGATTTTTACCCAGCCATAACTCTCCATCAGGATTTCCGAAGCCATTTTTGTAATCCTCCCAACCTCTGTAAAAATCGACACTTCCATCCATTCTACGTTGAATAACCTTCGAGAAAATATGGAAAAAGTTCATTTTTTTAATAAAAACACAAAAATTGTCATATCATAAAACATTAGTTAAAATAACTAATTATAATGGATTTAAAAAATGAATTTTGTAACAGCTATTTTTTGTATATCAGATGTAATTAATGGCATATATACATCTCAGCCATATTTTTTGTTTTCCGCAATAGCTAAATAAGAGATTCTGTGCTCCTTCAATCATCAATTACGCGCCATACCTAATTCAATTCGAAATTCTCAGTTAAAAAAATTTCACATGTAAATTAAATCTGATCTCGAGATTCGCGTTAATTTAAGGATGAGAGGTCTAGCTAGCAAAAGCTTTTTGTCGTTTGTTATTGTACATAATCTTGAATGGCTATCGAACAAATTTTTTTTTATGATGTTATGAAAATTGATTTCATAGTCAATATCAAGTAGTTACACAAACGTAAGTCCACTTTTCAAACCGAGGTTTCAGTTTTTTCCTAAAGTTAGTTTGGAGGAGCATGTTCAAACAATTAGCAAATAATTTAATATTCTTACTGTCCATGCGTTCGATTCATCAAAAATGCAATTAACACTTGCAATCTCTCCATATAACGTAATATCAATTGTTGCTTTTTCAGCGGCAACTCTTCTTCCAAGTCGATATTCCGAGCAATCCGCAGGCAGTAATCGTTTTACGTTTTCTGTACATATTTTAGTATCAACATTTATTGCCAGCTCATTCATTTCGAGTCGCTTGCTACCAGCGATGAAGCTTCATGTTACACACAATGGAAACTACTGATAAATTGATTTATATTGCTTTAATTGCATAATTACCGAAATTATACATATTTATTATGTAATATTGTTCACTTTTGGGAACGGAAGTATTAGTCTAAATAACTGAAGTCATAAAGTGATTTGAACAATTTAGTAATTCTGAGCAAAAAAAAAGCTAATTCGCTCTTCAAGATGAAACATAAGATCGAGAGTAAACCAGAAAAACTTCAAATGTTAACTTTTTTCGAAAGTTTGGAAAGCTCAGTTTGGAAAGCTTGTTAAATCATTAACACCTAGAGTTCACAATAAAATCGTATGCTTGTCGAAATTGCACACGGTACCTACGTTGCAATTGGCTATTATTTCCTTTCAATTCATCAAATTGCAATTGAAGTTGACTATTATTTCTATTCAATTCGTCGAGCAGTTGGTATTGGCGATCATTTCCGTTCAATTTATCAAATTGCCTTTGTAATTTTGACAGTTCAGATCTCAAATGCGTCACTTCCTCTTCATCGAAGATATTGCATTGACAGGGATCTCCCTTTAGACCTCGTTGACCCTTTTGACCTGTCAATAAGAGGGCGGTAATAAGCAATAAGAGTAGACAGTTTTTGAGAGGTCGTAAAAGTAATTAAAATTAAAATATTCGTCAAGTTTTGATCTTGCCCGCCTCATTTTAGATATTTGCATTTTTTATTTTGGATATTTACGTTCCATCCACGTAAACATATTGGATAAAACATACTTTCTCCTTATTGTTGTTCGAAACTTATTGTTAGCTAGTTACTTTTAAGGTGGGGCGCGAGACTTGACAAATTCGAAAAAGGAGCGCGGTTTAAAAAGTTTATGAACCACTGTAGTAGAGTATTGGGCAGCTATCGTAAAGTTTTAAGAGGTTCGAAGTTTTCAACCCAGGGCATCTCAGAACACCCATACACACTCATTGTCTTCTTATATATGTCAAAAATTTGGCATTTTTATAAAATGTTAAGAAAATGACTCAGAGCAAAGATAGCGGCACAATTTGTTAATCGCTAACATGTACTCGCTGGTCCTCTTTCTTCATACATAAATATGATGTGATGCATAAAAATGAAATTCGTATACAAGTTGAAAGTTATTTTAAATAAGGCATGTCCAACCTTTTTAGTGCCGCGGGTCACTTTCACACGAGGAAGTTCATTTCGGGCCGCAAACCTAAATATATATATATATACATACCAGTTTTTACGTTGGAATTTAAGCGTCGCTGAAGCAAACGCTTTTAATGCACAAATCTATTTTGAATATCTCAACACAATATACACGTATTTTTACGCAGTGACCTCATTTCATAAGTTTTATTTAACGCAAAAAAGCCAGTAGCAAAGATATTGTACGGTACACTTTTTTATTTTACGATGGCGATGAGGATGATCGAAGCCTACACGAAAGATAATATCTGGGTTGCAAATTAATTCCTATAATTTTCCTCGACCAATGATAGCACAATAGCTTTCGATTTTGTTGAGCAAAACGCGCGGTCCTTCGAGAAATAAAAAACATCGATGTCGACCAGATACATGTGATGACGCTAGTTTGAACGATGAGGTATAATTATTTTAATAATAATTTACTTATTTTTGTTATTGGAGGTGTTAAATTTGTGGGGGACGTCGGGTTATGTTTGGTTTATTCAATTTCGAAAACTACTGAGCGGGCCACTCGGAACTTTTCTGCCGGCCACTTGTGGCCCACGGGCTACGGATTGGGCGACCCTGTTTTAAACAGTAAATTGCGCATAACAATCGCATAACAAAAATAATCAAAAAATTTATATCTAGTTCGCAAATTTTTTTTCTTCGTCATGCGTATACCGTCTCGCCGAATATATCGTTTGAATTATATAATGCTGCCACGAGTGTTTTTTCTGAACAATATTTTTACCTACTACGGCGTATATGAAGCTTGCCATGGATACTGAAAATTATTGACCTAGGGCTAGATATTAGAATTCTGTTATCTTTACTTTTCCGATTATATACTGCAAGGGTGTGCAACCTGCGGGCCGCGGGCCAAATGCGGCACTCAAAGAAAATTTGTGCCAGTTTTGAGAATGATGTGCGTGCCGCGAAACGAGTTTTTGAATTAATTCAGTACGTGCAAGTAATTTCAATCCCTTTGCGTTGCGAATTCTATTCCCGAGTCCAATTTTTTATCAATGCCTATGACTTTACAATGCTTTAACAGCTAGCGTGTATAAAAACAACGCATGTCACAAGATCAATAAATAAAACTTTTGTGTCCCCAACTACTAGAAAGCCTAGGATATATAAATGCGCGGCCCGCGTTTACACCCAAGTATTTGTATCTGTAAATTTGAAAAAAAAAAAAAATAGCAAATTGAAAAACCCAGTTGAAATTTATCACGTTTATTTCAAAATGTATTGTACAAGTATTTTCAAAAAAGGCATTTTCCAATGTTCTGCCAAATTATTCATGTCAGTCCATTCACACCGGGAAATGGAGAACACACGTTTACTTTGATAGAAAATCATTCCTATATAATTTAGATTCCATTTTCTTACCAACAGGGCCGATTTTTCCTGGTCTTCCTTGTTGTACTCTCGTATTAGGGATCCCTTGGGAAGAAGCCATTCCTGCCATATTTTCAGGTTTACATAAACTTGTAGTGGTAGTCGTTGTACAGCTGAATGGTGGAGATAAATTCACACCTTTGACGTCTTGCGACAATACCAATGATGCAACTATGCTGATTATAAACGTGTAAAGAACCAGCATATTCATTTTATAGATTGTCTGCAAGTAATAAAATAATTATTAACAAAATTTAATGATCTGGATATAACGGATTCCCGAGGTCCTGAATTAGCTAACCCTCACTGATATATTATGAAAAGCTTTCACAATAAACACAGCCTTTTCGCTAAAACTAAACTACACATTTTTCAAATCAAATGATTCGTTCACGCTGAACTTTCATTTAAATAAGCGTATCATTTTTTTACTAAATTCTTTATAAAATATTCCGAGAAATTCGGGGAAAAAATCCTTGCTCTCAAAAATAGCATAGAATCAACTGTTTCTCTTTGGTATATACTACATTCATATATTCTATGTTTTCAAAAATAAAAATGAAGAAAAGGTTTTTTACAAAGAAATGGCAACTAAAGCGCTGTGTCGAGTAAGGAAAATAGGAAGACGTTGGTCGCCAATTAATAGGTATTTTGCAATAAACAAAAATCATAGTTTCAAAGCAGGAATCGGCAAACTGCGACCCACGGGCCAAATGGGGCCCACGAACTATTTTTTTGCGCCCCTCGAACGACTCGACTTTAAATGCATAAAACAAAAATTAATCTTAACTTTATCATGGCCTCCACACAGATTTATGTGGTAACAAGTGCTGACGTACGGCGTTTGTTTTGTAATAAGTGGAGTCAGTTCTATATTATTTACTTGTAAACGTCGGATATGTTGAGCTTCATTACGAAACGTGTCATTGCAAATACGAAATTCGACCCGGGGCTGACCGACTGATCGTATGTGCGTCAGTGCAAAACGTAAAATGTGCATATTCGTAAGCACATATTGTTGATAGTAGCTTTACTCAAAATGCATTACACTAAGAATAAATTTCGAACTTGCTTTTCAGATCGTCATTTGGACGACGTATCGATCGATGGGAAATGAAGTTGCCATTTGATTTTTACGCTTTAGCCATGACACAGAAACAACATCATCCTTCACATTGATAATAAGTAAATAAAAACACTGTATTGTTTGATAATATATTAAAAAGAGCCACATACACGTCTCATTGTGGCAGGCTTTTAACACAGCAATAGAAAGTAGAAAGTGCGCCATAATTTGGAGATAAATGCATCGGTTGAATTAATTTTCGATTGCAAAACAATTGTCGCATTGCGTCTCCGTTCCACAGGAAGCACTTCACTTTTATGTTTGCAAAGCTTCGGAAATTTTGAATTGCAGAAATTTCAATGGCAATACATTTTGCACAATATGCTTTTTACAGTAAACAACCTCGATCTTTTAGCGTGTCAAAAGCTTCTCCCGCAATTGCATGATTTGGAAAATATATCAAAATTTCTTGGAGACTTTAAATACTTCGAATTAATTCATTATAATAGGTTCACAGGTTTTCCATAGAATTATCTATGTTCAGTTATGCCTAATTCCATCAATTTAAATGGCACTTTGGAGTGGGATTTGTAACTTGATATACACATATGGGAAGCCAAAAATACATTGTCAGCCGACTTCGTGTGCATACACAGCCAACTCAATAGTCATATACATACACCCATTTAGTTGATGTACATATACATACACTCAGTTTCATTTGCTTGCAGTGTGCTTCGAGCACTGGTTCTCAACCAGTAGGTCATGACCCACTTCTGGGCCACAAAAACATTTTCAGGTGGGCCATAAACCTCTTAAAATTGCTGGACTTATTATTAAATTAGTTAGACTTTGATTGTAGTAGCAACGAATGATGATGCTGTTTTTGCTACTTAGTGGTAATTCTCATTTTAAGTACCAAGTCTTTACGGAAAGAATTTTTTGTTTGCTTTTCTGTAGTTTTTCCCTTCCATAAGAAAGTTACTGGGTGACAGCATTTCTTGTTCAAAAAAAGTGAGCCACGAACAAAAAAAAGGTTGAGAACCCTTGACTTAGAGTTAAGATATTAGAGAAAAATTACGATACACTCGTTCATTTTTTCCTTTCGCGAACAATCCGACGCGAAAATACTACACACTTGGTATACAGTTAGGTTTTAGTTGTGTATTGGCGCAATAATTTTTCCATACAAGTAATTGGACACCAAATATGCATATAGACAAATTTGCCGTTAAAGGCTAGTACTTTTTTTCTTTCTAATTCATGATAACTTTATCTCTAATTGAGGATAAGCATTATACCAGGCTTGTTCATGGGACAAATTTTTCTGTCCCATTCCCATCCCATCTATAGCAATTATGCCTGTCCTTCCCAATAACATGGGATTCCCATTGGAATAAAAATTCAATAATAATTGTTAAATTTAGGTTTAGCGTCTACTAAATAGGACTACATGTAGGAATAGACATGTAAAGCAACAAAATTTACGGACTTTATTAACTTTATATTCATAACTATTATACATGTGTCCATCAGCCCCTTCACAAAGTATATTTTTAAAGCTGAATATATTTTTCTTTTTATAACTAGCAAGAGAGCTATGCTCAAATATATAGACACAGAGTCCATAACCATAACGAAATGTTTCACCATCATTTCCCCGAAAATCATACGGTTTTCGTGTCCGTACGCTGTCCCATCCCATCCCATGTGACGTTTTCCATGGGAATCCCATTCCCATGAACAAGCCTGATTATTACTATATACTATAGTATATAAGATACACTCTACACGGATTTAAATTTAGGAGCTATGATGTCGTTTTTTGCAAAATAATGAGTGATGTTCTGAATTATTCCAATAAACAAAAGCCATAGTTTTGAAGTATATCAATTTCACGGAACTTGTATTTGCAATGCATCAATTCCGAATTGATTTTCGATTTCTCAAGTTTACAAAAGCAATTTTTGCTTGCATAATCTGCTACTTATTTTAGAATTTTGGAGACAATGCGTCACTGTTTTCTTATGACAGGAAGTATTCACCCCACTTTTATTTTTTCAGAGCTTTGGGAATTTTAAACTGCAATAAATCCAAAGGCAATACATTTCGCACGATATGCTTTTTGCAGTAAACAACTTCGACCTTTTAGCGTTATTTACAAAGCAATGGAAACCTATTTCTAAATATTTGAAACAAATTTTTTTTCTCGATATTTCAACTTCATTATTTATTGGATATTTTTGATACCTTCATTTATTCCTCACAATAGGTCACATATTCCCCATGACATTTGTATTTAAAATTTTTGTAGTTCCTCCAAGTCAAATGGGCACTGCGGAGCGGGGCTGGTAACTCAATAATCATATATATGACGCCAAAAGTTTTTTTTAATGGTACACGCTTTTAAACTTCACCTAAGTCCGGTTCCCATCTTGAATAGTTCGATAGGAACTAATAATAATTATGAATGTTACCGGGCTCTTTAAATTCGTAGGGGGGTTCACGTAATCACTGGCAGAAGGGAATAATCGGTTAACTATTCCACACTAGGACTGGCAACCGAACAAGAGGTTGTGACTCACTATATGATTTAGCCGGATTTCCTTATCTTGGTTAATCATGGATTTTTTTTACGGACGGACGACATGTCCGGAATCCAGCCCAATTGCCTTCATGTCCAGCAGACTATGTCGACGGAAGCTTCATGGATCATTGTTTTAATGTTTATACCATGTGTTGTGGTAAACTTCATCTGATCATTTTTCTTGGCTCCCTCTCCCGTGACCACATTCAAAATAACACCTCACGATGTGAAAGTTTATTTATGCCACTTATATTTTATGGTCTGTTACGAAAAGCAGCATACAACATCTTGGGAAACTTCTAGAAAGAGACACCTACACATTATGCTTTATTTGTGTAGCATCAACATCGTATATCAAACCTGTTTCATTTGATACACTCTTCAAAATCTGTAAGCACATACTGGGATGTATTGTGTACCTACGTGAGATACACTGGCATAGGCCAGATAATATCTTTATGTAATACGACCTGTTTCCTGATTCCAAGTTTTCGCTGATAAATCTCTTTGAACCCTAAAAGCTGGTATTTCGGCATTCCTGAGAGCGTCTTCTGACGGGTTTTTTTTTCGACTTCGGCATATCGTATGAGGTATGCAACTTTGAAACCTCACATCTCTCAAACCTTATATTATACTTGGACAAGTTTTACTTTGTTTGAAAGGCAATCTCAAAGAGGAATTCAAATTTCGAAATGAAGATGAAATGTCGTGATTATTCTACAAGAATAAGCAAAATTGAAAAGCATGAAGAATTTTTGAAAAGCTCCCAACTTACATAAAAAAAAACTTCGATTTGTTCTAGTTTTAATCTAAAACATCATCAACCTGACGTAACAACGACGTTATGCAATTACTTCGTTACGCAGCAACGTTACGCCATTACGTCTTACAAGGTCATACGTTAGCGGCCAACGACTTGAAAGCGATATACAATCGAATTTACGCATTGCGTATATAGCCTCAAAATTTTTGAGACTAAAACACACAGTGGGCAGTATTGTTACCGTTTTATTGAATAACAAATGTGGAAACTAGGCAACACAAAAACTACAGATTTTTAAAAGGCATTGTTCATTTCGGAATCTGTTAAAATTCTAATATTTTCTCGGGAAAAACATGCTTCAAGCTGTTCCAACAGTTTCTCCAAGAATTTAAGAATGTAAAGGGTCTCATGGCTCGCACATTGTGCGGCTATATGAATTTCGTACAAAAGTACAAGTTGTATGCTCCCCACGTACAAAATTTAATGACACGCGACTAGTGTTACAGCTCTTTCCTACTTTTCGGCAGGATATTTCGATTCTTTTGTGTCGGAAAATTTAAAATATTTATCAGGTGATCCAGCGAGGCAATCACGTCTTCTAAGTTCTCGTTGATAAAAATTGTTTGTAATTTTGATAATATTCAACAGTGAAAAATTAGCTTTGGTGTTTTCGGCGGAGCCGTATATACACGCGTGGTATAAATATTTTAGTTTGGCCATGTAGTTACATCCAGTGGTGAGATTCAAATTTTCTGTCAGCCGGTTCCATCACAAAAGTCATATTTTTCGGCCTGTTCTGTTACATGTTTTTTTTAGTAATGCT